ATGGCATGGGAAAGTAATCGGATATTGATATCATCATTATATCCACTGTAATTTAGGGCGTTCCACGCACACATCAAAAATATACCACCACTGCCGCTATCATCGTCATCGTTACTGTTCGGCAATGAAACATTGTTCAGTATCAACCATTTGGCCACACATGCAATTAATTGAGTTTCTACAGTTATTTGTTGCGATGTTTGAACATTACAATTTACAACTGCACCAAGCACTCTGACATATTCGTTGCTGTTAAATAATTTGATTCGGTGTTTAATGCATCGTTGATCGCACTGTGCTTCTAGTAAATAGGTCATCGATCGTATTAAGCGCCGTTTTTTCACATTATTCTTTGAATTCATTACTATTTTATCAATTGAAAAAATGTTCATTATAATTTGCTTCCCGTTTTTTTCATACGCCCACAAAAAATACATAGAAACAGAAAAAATATTTTTAAAAAATACTTACACAGATTTTTATCATTTACCAAATGCCCAAGATAAGTGATTAAAAATTGAGTATGTCGTGGCAATTGATGCAAAATTGTGTGTTGATTTTGTTTGCTCATTTCTCGCCAACACACCATTGCATCATGCAGTCCTTTTTCACAGTAATTCAAACACTGATCCGGATCGATCATCCAAAAATGTTCAATTAGCATTTCTAATTGATAATAAGATGGTAAGTTGGCACAGTCAAAATGTTGACTTTGAAACTTTATCAAAATAGCAACGGTATAATAATTGAACTGACAATGATGACGTTGCTGTTGTAGACATTCAATCAGATACTTTTCATTATCGATTATACATGGATTTATGGTAGTACAATAAAATTGATTTGGTAAGTACACATCCAACAAAGGAGCTTTCACAAAGAACTCTTGTATTCTGCACAACAGATCCATCGCCAAATCAAAGTCCATCAGTTGAATTGCCAATTGAAAATGTAATAAATTTAATCTTAATTCATTTCGAGCATCAGTGTAATCGATTGAAGATAGATTCTTTGTGAATAGAACCTGGTAGAAATGTTGCATTGTAAACGTATCGAAGAATCTTTAAAAAAAAACAACGAGAAAATGAAAAAAGTGAGCTCATATACTAGAATTTGTTCTACAGATTGAAGTTAGTTGTACCTTGGGATTTCCGTTGAATTTTGTACATTTGTTGCAATTTTGAATTCAATATAGAGCAATGCCATCTGGAATATTTCCACAGCTTTGCTGGGCGACACTTCATTCCAAATATTCAATTCGACGTGACTACTATGAATAAAGAATGTCATTATTCCACATTTTTCTTGTTCAAATATTATGAACTTACTATTCATAAATTTCGATGTATAGTGATTGCAACTCAATTGGGAATTTAACATGAGACATTTTTGACATGTAATTCAACCACTCGTACACAATCGTCGATATATCAATTAATTTCGACTGTAATGAAAAAAAAATATAATAAAAAAAACACGAATATTTTTTTTAATATAATAAAAAATACCTTCAACGAAAAAATATATTGTTGAAGTATATCCATTGAAATATTGTGAAAACTTTGATAATCGACGATATAATTGAAAAGTTTAGCAAAGTAGCGAGTAGGTTGACAAATTGCGCGCACAATCGACTGACAATAAATAATTCCGTCTTCTTCTTCTGAATCGTCACTTTGAAACCATAGATTTAGAAAATAAATGTAATTAAAATGTATATTTAGATGTCGGGTACGTTTTTAAAATAATATTTCTCTCTCTTTCTTTTTTCTGTCAGTCTTGAATAAAAATGTTGAAATGTTGCATAATTTACGGAAGTGTGCAAACATTTTTCTCATTTTTTTTCTTATTCTTTCTTTCTTGTAAAAAAGGGCCAACAAATCAAATGGAAGCGACCATGAATAAATTATGTCTACTTCCCCATTTTCAAATCTCTAAAAATTATTTCCTTTTTTCTTCTTTAAGTATTCTTTTTTACCTGAAGTATTGTGGTAAAAATTCTTGGAAGATTTCTTTGATTGGTGTTGGGTTATTGCATGTACGATGCGATGCTGGTGACACCATTGATTCAAGTGCATATACTTTAGTGCCTTGACTTATTTGAAATGGTTCAATTTTCAAATCTCTTATATCACAGATGTCATTTATCGAGATTTTTGTGGTAAAATAAGATGTGATTTGTGACGTGCTGTAAATTGATTTAATCATTTGACCAAAGGCCAGAAATGAGAGCGTTTTTAGTTTGAACTTTTTTAAATCGATTAAATTATCTTCTTGCATATCAATAAAGCTAGCTGATGGAAAACAGTTTGCCTGTGAAGATCGTTTGAAATTCCCACTATTTATTGGTCCAAAAGCACTGCAAATAAAAATGTATGATGAATGAAAAAAAAATTTCGTTCGCACGCGAAAAATACGCGTTAAGAGATCTTAAATTTCTTTTTTTTTTGTTACTTATGCATTAGTGGTGAATACTTCAATGAATCACGAACATCAATAATTACATCGATTGGCCGTTGATAGTTTGGAAATTTAGTGTGTGTGTAAATCGACCATCCATATGCTTCTATGTAGTTTTCCTCTTTACACAACATATCCAATATTCCATCATACGATGGTCGGTGATTCGGGTTTAATTTTAAACACTTTGTGAGAGATAAGACATTTATTGATTCGAAAAAAAGGACAAATAAAAACAACCAATTGTTTACCCGTTGAAACATAGTATTTGCCAAATTGAAATGTTGCAGCTTCAATGCAATATATCCGAATTTGTTAATGAAGAAAACATCATTGTCATCTATTTCTATTGCCTGTATAAAAAAATCATGTCAAGTCATTATAACATGTACGAACGATGAATCTAAATGTGATGGTTGTACTTCTGAAATATTTACCTTTAAAAAGTGTTCTAGAGCGCTTTGATAAGATGCCTCTAATACATACAATTCGGCCAAATTTTTATAGCAACAGTACTTAATCGAAGATATATCGATATCAACCTAAAATTTTAAATTCTTTTGCATTCAACTTATTTCGAGAGAAATAGTAGCATCAATTTTTTCCATATTAAAAATACCTGTGTTATTTCCTCGCTTTTGAGTATTTTCTGAAACATTTCAATGGCAACATCATTTTGATTCATTTGTTTTGCTTGTAATAATACACACGAATATTCGTTTCCCAAGTTCTGAAAAAATATTTTGAGTTAACAAAAATACAAACTAGTTTTTATTTAATGCAATTAACTTCGATTATTTTTTCAGTAGTTATTGTTGTTATTGTAGTAATTGTTGACTCGTCGTTATCAACATTGAGTGCTTTAAATCGATCCATTTTTGATGAATTATTTAAATCTAAAATTCACAGCGATATATATTGAACAAATCAAGTTCTTTACTGCTGCAGAATCATATTTGTGGTGCAAATTAACACTGCTTCGTTTTGAATATCACTTGTCATTTGTCTACATTTCACAGTATCAAGAATTGTAACATTTTTTAACGTTGAAAAATGTAACGCTTTGTGGTCATTTTCGTGTTAAATAGAACGTAGATTATATGTGTAGTTTCCATATTCTACAGCATAATGTGAACCTGACCCAATACAACGTTAAGTTTTAATTTTGTAGTTCAATTCTATTGATTCATTTGTCAAAAAAAAAAAACAATTAGTATACAACGAGATTTGATTTGATTTTAGTTTCGGTAAAAGAATTTTTTTTTATTTTTTTTTTATTTCATAAATGCGAATTTTAAATCCGAAACGTATTTGTATGACAATTGACAGTTGGATGCTGTGCACGTCATACCGGTGCCAAACAGCATTTGTTTACATTCAAAAATATGCCTCGTAATTACTGCATCGCATCACATCGTGTCAGTCTTTTTATACAATTGATTTCTTTCTTGTGATTTTAATGTGTGTTGCAAAAGAATAGATTTATTTACGCCGTGAATTTTATGTTTGTTTCTGTTTTTATTTTAAAATAACAGAACATTCACAAACTAACAACGTAAGAAATCATAATTTCGCCATCAAAGTAGTGAATTTGTTTTCAATGTCGCATCGACAAAACAGCTTGCAAAATGGTTCGCAATCAACCAGCGATTTTCTAAATGTGAGCAGTAGGGTGGCCCAAATCGAACTATCTGAACGGATTGTTGTTCCTCGACCGGTTTTGTTAATTTCGGTCCAAAACTAGGTAACTGGCATCATTACATTGTTTAAAGGTTGAAAAAACGACCCGAACCCGTCCATATCAAAAATACCTTATTTTGCTTTAACCAAAAAATCGCAAAAAATTCATTATTTTTTGCAAAAATTTAATGAAATTTCGATTTTTCGTTGGTGGTAACTCATCTTTAACGCTTGATTCGGATTCAGCGCCCACAATTTACTCTAAAAATGACTATTCATACCATAATGACTGTCAAAATATATTTTTAAAAAAATCAGCAAAATTGTCAATTGTTGGATTACCACCACTCATTGTAACCAATGTGAGCAAACGATTACTGCAAATGCGACGAGCAATTGTACGGTTGTGGAGCAAGATGCAAGAAATGGGCAATGACTCGATGTGGACCAAATGCAGGTAAATGTCAACAATCAGCCCTTACCATTCTATGGACAACTGCAGCCGTAGTAGTTGCCCTCATTCAACAACACCATTCAAACAATACATAATTTAGAAATTAGTTTAGAACAATATTTGTTAGTTCGCTAGGCTTGATTAAATTGTGGTATAAATATCAATCAATACGGTTGTTTTGTCTCTATTTTTTTCATTCCATTGCTGACGTTCAAAATTTTGCGGATGAAAACAGTTATTGTCTATAAACAGCATCATAATGTACGTTGATGGAGATACATATCTTTTGATGGAGACGGTGCCAGATTTTTCATACATTTTTCTAAATAGTAGAAATGTGACAGCTGCCATTGAATAGTCCGTCGACTACAAATTTAACAAAAAAAAAATTGTGTATATACAATAGATTTAAATCATCTGTGTGGTTTGTCGCATGTTCAGTAGTTTCAACGTTTCATAATTCGCATCATCCTATTATCGGATATGGCGTGAATATATACTTGAATAAAAAAGAACAAAAACACACACGTACACAAAGCAACGAATCCATCATCAGAATCTGACTTTGTTGAAATTACGTATTTATATTCTCATTTTTATATATTGTATGTCGATAACACCGTCATCGAACAGTGAGAAAAAAAGTGACATAAACTAAATATATTGTGTGCTATATTCAGTTTACGAAAATCACAACACAAAAAAAATATGAATTGAAAAATTTATGGATAAAATTTGGTTTATGAATAAAGAGACACGCTTTTACCCAAATGAAAGAAAGAGTGACAAAGAATAAAGACCGAACACTTTTGGTTCAAATTTTCATTTGAATGATTGTTATTGTTGTGTCGTGTGAAACGAACAGCTGCCGCGATTCAAGCGATCAAGTGAGATAGAACGAATGAGGCAGCCAAGAACGGTGGGCCGAAAGTAAAAAATTTCAAACATCCAATATATTGCAATATATGTTTAATCTGTCTTCTATTCAATTATTTTATCATTTGTGATTTGTAATAAATCCACTATTATTTTTTCATCATTTCGGTTGTTGTATACAATAAACATTTTTTTATTCTGATTTTGTTGTATGGGTCTAAATTTATTTCCAAATTACGCTTCAAGAACGATCATTCGAGGAAATCCATGCAATCAAATGTGGAAGAAAGTGTAGTGCATATATTTTATTTTAGTAAGAATGGATTTAATGCGTCAGTTTATCAATTTTTTGACCAATTGCTTCCGATGCAAAGAAGATACAGTTCATCAGGTATGTGTATTTTTATTATCAAAATATTATTGTTGATTGGTGACCTTTTTTCCCAATTGAAATAAAAACAATGTAATAAAATAATTGATATTTTTCATTCATTCTTTGGTTCTATTTTTATTTTATAGAATTCAGAGACAAATGAACGTACACATTTGTTGCAACATCCGATCAACAGTAGCCCAGCGGTGATAGCCAACAATGGAAATTTATTACGAGACAATCAAAACTCTGTGCCACAAAAAAATGAGTCCAATGCACTTAATCGGATAGTACAAGATTTTGCGACGTAAGTTTAAGAGAATACACATCTTCGACTATATCAATTTTGTTCTTTTGTTTTTTTTCTCTCTTCTCAAGAAGAAAAGCGAAATGATTTAAACTTTATTTCTCTCTTTCTTTAAACAGGAATATAATTGATGTTGCGGCCATGGATTCACACAATTTAGAACCACAAGAGTTGAATGATCGAATTCGATTGTACTCACATAAGTTATCACAACAATGGGGAACATTGCAGGAAGACACGACGAGTGTTGCCAATGGTATCTATTTAAAAAAATAATTATATTATACAAAATTCTGGCAAACGAGGCGAACACTTTTTTTTGTTTTGTGTTAACAGGATTATTAAGAGATATTCCAAGTAGTGAAGCAGATCGTTTGCTATTGGTGGCTCCAATTACCGATGCTGATCTTCATTTGGTAAATATACTATTCCGTTTTCCAATCAACCAATTTTTTACATTATATTCATTCCATTGATTTTTATTGTACTTTCGCAGATTCGAAACTTTACCCAAAAATCATATGTGGCATTAAATGATATCAAGGTTGAGCATAAGGAAGACTTAGTGGTACCTTTTTTAATTCCATAATGAAAGCCACCCAAATAAATTTAAATTAAACTGCGAAATTCGATAACATTTTTTTGTGCAACATGATGAACTTTTAATATTAAACAGAAATGAAAAACAATATGAGAAAAAAATGAACAAGCAAGCATACGAAAATATTTCTCTTCTGAAACAATATTATACGATGGCGACCAAACTTGTGATGAATTGAAATTTTCTCAAAAGTCCTCCACAAATTTAATGGCACTAAGTAGAAGACATGAGATACATAATGACATTTACCTCAATTTATATTCATCGTTCATCTTTTGAAATGAAAATATATGTTTAAAAAAATATATATATATCTGCTTTAATTATAGCAATTACATTTATCGTTTCACTCTTGTTCTTTTCAATTTCTTTTTTATTTTGTTAATGTTTTGGAATCGCCTGCGTTAAAATAAACATCGTTTAAATACCACAGAAATGTAATAATCCTTATGAATTTGTAATAATGAAAGAAGAAAAAACAAATGCAAAAATAAATTTAAATCAACGTTTTAAATATTTTGGGTGGATTTTGTTTTCGTTGTTTTATTTTTTTAAATAAGAATATTACCTTTTTAGTGTATAGAAATGCCCACTAATCAAAACATAAAGGAAAGTTTTAAAATATAGAAAATGAACGAATAAACTGCCATCTCTTGAGTAACAAGTGAAACACTTCGTTGTGCATTCTGAAAATCTCATTGATAACGCCCTCTGACACAATTGTTCCCGCCAAAAATACGTACAATACGTCATATTCGTATTTTGTGTATACTAAGTTGTAAGCAACTATCGCGCTGTTAAAACGATTAAAAGAACACCGAAGAGATTTCATAAATAAAGTTTCAATTAATGTGAAAAGAATTTTAATTCATTGGGAAAGTTATGAAATTTTTTATTTTTTTACAATGACGCCACAAGATGATGAATCAAATGCACCAACACTGACCATCAACAAGTTCAACGAAAATGCGGTTTGCGTGGAGCGTCCAGTAGCAAAAACATCATTGACATTCAACGAACATGTTATTTCGGTGCACTCGTTTTATGGTAAACCCGTGGTGCCATCCGCGAAGGTACAACCGACGACGACGACGGCAATGACAAATACGGCTATTAAACCAGAACTTGATATTATGGTGAAGCCGAATAGTCGTGAATTGGCTACAGCGATTCCAAAGCTAAAACAAAGATCCACAAAACCAAAGACAAAGCAGAAATCATTGGCCAGTCAAATGAAGGTGCCGAGCCTTTGGCGTTATAGCGGCAAAATAAAAATCAATCGATTCAAACAAAAGTATCGTACGCATAACAAGTATATAAAGAAAAAGTCACATAAAACCAGTGCAAATAATAATACATTGACAAGCAATAATACGGAAAATGTGCCACCGATTGGTGCCGAATTTACGTCACGCATCGAACAAAATTTGCGGTTGCAGAAAATATTGAAGGATCAAACAAACGCATTTGCCATATCTCGTGACATTAACTGGAATGGTTTAGCTAAAGTAAACGATTCACAAACACTGCAACCGAAAATCTTTTTGAGTAGTGATGGTGAAGATGACGATGATGACGATGAAGGTGATAATGTATTATTATCACCATCGTTAAATGCCAACGAAACATATGAAGAAGTTGAAGTTGATGTGGAAGAGCAAAACACGGGGTATACTTACTTTAAAAATTACTATTCCATTATTGAAGAATGCTATCCATTCTTTCGATTATTTTTCCATTACATCCATTTCAAAAAATCACAATAACAAAATCTATTTTGCAAATGAATTGAACGAAGCTGCGTTAGCAAACACTTTGCTGACAAAAATTGAGATTTGGTAGTAGTAGTAGTTCTGTTATTCCACAACAGAACGCGATTCTTAACACTACACCAAATCTCAAATTAAAGCAATGTTGTTGCAAATGTGTGACGATTACTTTGCTCTTAAACTTTACATATTTGATTTTCATTATATGTTTCCATTAATTCCATTACGTTCCACAGGGCTGTTATTTTCACTCTGTCAGTGCACGCACACAGAAGTGTGCACACTCACACTCAATGTGCGTCGCACACAGTGCTTGTATTTTGAATGTGCACGCACACTTAGTTACAAATTTGCCAACCGCCAAAAATGTCAAACTTGTGACTAAGTGTGCGCGCACATGCAAAATACAAGCATTGTGTGCGACGCACATAGAATGTGAGTGTGCACACTACTGTGTGCGTGCACTGACAGAGTGAAAATTACAGCCCTGACGTTCCATTACATATTGATTAATTTCCATTATTTCCATTCTTTTCTTTGTGATTAACCCTAGGCAAAACACGAATCGGAAATTTTTCAAGTCAAAAAATAATGGCGGTTCAACAAAAAAGTATCGTATTATGGGACGTTTGAGTGCCACATTAAAACGTGGTGGTGATTTGAAGTTCGATCCACTGCCAAAACGAAAGAAAAAGCTTCCAAATAATGGTATGTAGACAAATTCATTTTTTTTTTAATTTTGCTCAAATTTAGTCATATGTCTTGTTAATTATTTCAGATGGTGAAACTGTAATCCTACACAATGAAATCAGCAGTATCATTGATCGTTTGTCATCTCCAAGAAAGAACAAACCTGTTGCAAGCATGGCGGCTGCTGATTCAGATAAAGGGCACATTATCGAAAAGGATGTTACGAATGAGCAACCACTTCAAAACCAAACCGATAAATTGGATTATATCGATGAGATGCCAATTCAAAAATCTCCCAATGTGGATAATTTGATTGATACAGTTGCATCTGATGTTGGTATGGAAAAGTATCGTCAAACGGTTCCATACAATACAGTGGATCCGGATAAGATAAGTCAACAAGAATCTATACTGGAGCTGCTAATATCCAATGGTATAAAATTTATAATTTCTCTCCTATTGGGATTTTCTACATATTCTAAAAAAAAACAAATGTGAAAACTCAATTTTTCTTCTGATCACTTTAGGTATCTGTAATGATGAAACGTTTAAAATTTTCATTACCGAACCAGATTCGCACAAAGAAAAAGCTTCGGAGATATTAGATAGTTTATATTGTGTAAATACAATGATACCTGTCGAATACGAAAACGAAGGTAACATTGAATTTATAATTCTTTTTGATTATTTTCATTACTTATTGATTAATTTCCATCAATTCTTTTCTTTACGATTCACCCTCAGGCAACATCGAATGGTCTGTGGAATCAATACCAATTGTTACAACACCAGTTGATTCAGTTGTAATGCCAGACACCATTGCGATATCAATGATTGAAACGAATTCAAATAGCAATACAGATGCATGTCATATAACTCCAGTGATTCATAGCGAAACAGAAACTATCGACAATGTAATGACGACCAATGTGTCAAGTGAGTTATTCATTTTGCTCTCTTTTAAGGCTTTGGCATGTGTTAAATAATGTTATCGATGTGCTTTTAAATTTTAGCCATTGCTCCAGAAATGTCCAAAGAAACGAATGCAACAATATCGGATAAATTATTCCCAATTTTCAAAAAAAATTTCAACGCAAAAGATTCAAAAGCACCTTCATTCAATGCACTAAATAAATCCTCAAAAGATTGGCAACCGATTGACAATCAATATCAACTTGATGTTGGCCAAAAAGAATTTGGCTTGCGTACATGTACACAATGCAATATGCAGTACAGTGTGCATGAACCAGAAGACGAGTTACTGCATCAAAAATATCACAACTGTGTGAACATTTTATCGTTTAAAGTATGGAATAATGAACGGATTGTGACACAAATACCGGAGTGGGGCCTAAGTGGCCGTATTATTTACGTATGTGAAGCGGATAACAAAGCAAAAAAAGATCGAGCCAAAGAAGTGGTTGAAATGATAGACAAAGATCTTGGATTTGCTGCCGGCATTCCTCTTAAACCAAAAACTTTGGTAATTGATTTAAGATTTAAATTAATTTCTCTCAATCAAAATCGATTCAAATTGTTAATATGAAATAATGAATTAAATGAGAATTTATTATGCTATTTCAGGTGTATTTTGCAATAGCAAAACAACAAATAGTGGGAGTTTGTGTCGTGCAACCACTAGAATATGCACATCGTTTAAAACAAGAAAATGGTATCGATTGTTGCTCTCTCGAAACATACCCAGTAAAGTAAGTATAGGTTGTTCATCATATTTTCCACATTAATTAAAATTAAAGATTTTGTTGTTTATCAATAATAAATATTTTCCGTGTACGAATATTAAGTTGCAATTAGTTTTAGATGGGCTTTTCCATTAATATATTTATATAAATTTTAAATGTAATGTTCCGTTACAGATGCGGAATTTCTCGAATTTGGGTCTCACCACAGTATCGACGTCACGGTATTGCGGCCAAGCTTATTACATCAATGCGGGGCCATTTCATTTTTGGTGCATTTTTATCATTTGATGAAATTGCGTTCAGTTCTCCAACAGAAGATGGTAAAAAATTTGCAGCCAAATTGGCGCAACGAAGTGATTTTCTCATTTATGAAAAGTAAACAAAAAGTGTGGTTCAACCAAGGGTTTGAGTCTTAATATTTATTTTTTATTGAATAAAGTTAATTAAATATTTTATTAAATATTAAATTTGTATTACTTTAATTTTATGGGATTGCGTGCAATTTAATTTAGTCATGTTTCCAATTTGAGTTTAAGGTATAAAAACTACCTAAATTTGAAGTAACCATGTTTCCCGCTTCAGTATCGAAGCAAGAAAACGGCTCGTGCGGCTGTTTTCAAGTAACTGAATAACGTACACATGTTGTGATATATAAAAAAACAACAACACAAAAAGTTGATAGCGAATTGTTGTGCCAAGATCGGAGCAAATGACGCAAGCTTAATATGTTTGTATGTCAAACATGTACATCTATCTTTATGTATCTATATCTTTATACATACAGATAGAATATATATATAGAATATATATGTTTACGTGTATTCTCACTTTCTTAGAAATGCACAAACTGTGATTACAGAGCCGCATTTCGACCCACGTCACAGCGCTCCGCAAGGCAAACGTTTTGTAATTTCTGAAATAAAGATTGAATTCATTCCAAAATTGGCAACTTTCAGATGATTTAAAATTATTTGAAATTAACCTACTTGAAACTATTCATTTGAGTTGGACTAGCGAAACGAAAACATTGATAAGTATTTTACGCAAGTTACATTTTGAACCGTGAGAATATAATTGACTCAAAGCGGCTCCGATATCTACAGACAATCTATTTTTTTTTATTTATATACTTCTTATTTCTTTCACTTGGCTTTGCGTTGAACATTTTTCACAGTCAAACAATATTTAGTAAAGCGAGCGCATTCAAATGAATAAAATTCAACAAAATGGCTACTAAATAACCAGCAATACTGACAAGATAATTGACACATAGGAGACAGAGAGAGAGAAAAAAAATATCAAGCCTAATCACAAAATATTCGCTCCGCTGTCAAGCTTTGGGTTTTGCAAAAAGAAAAACCACAATAACACACAATAAATTTGGAATTTTATCAAAGTAAAAAAAGAGATTCCGTCCTGTTTCAGTCGTTCTGAGTTTGTTTAACAGGCTCAATGCAGAAGAGTTCGAGTAAAAGACACCTTAACTGTGAATTGAAAAACAAAAAAAGAAGGAGGGAATAGATCTATTAGTGTTTTGGGGTCAGATAAATCAAAAAGTGATTTCACTCCACCTGAAAAATATTCGATCCTTGTAAGAGATATTTCTCTTCCAACAACAAGAATCTCTCTTCCAAAAAAAACAGTACAAATCAAAATTTATAGCGAAAAAAAACAGTAGAAACAAAAAAATCAGTGTACGCAAAATCTAGAAGCATCAAATTATTTAAAATAAGGTACACGCACCGACCAGTAACAATTGTTATCGATCAAAGAGAAATAACAAAATATGATACTTTCATCGTAACATGAATTTAAATTTATAATCAATTGTTTGTACAGTGATTTTAAGAGTGAAAGAATGAATTTAGTTAAATTTTTCGCAGCATTTGTAATGAACGTACGCATTCATAGCCGCGTGCAATATGTAATGTCAAATGTGATAAAATCATTTATTTGTATGTTCATACGTGGTTTCTTGCATATGTGTGTGTTTTTTTTATCTTAAATGAGCAAAATAAATATGTGATACATGATTGTCTCGTGTAGTTCGTAAACACACTGAGGCAAATCAACGACGTCGATGACTATAATTCGCATTGATATCCCACATTGCTTTTGTATCGATTTTTCTCTCATATATATAATTTGTAAAAATTTCAAAACGAAGAGAAACGAAAAGACAACAACAGCCAATTTTGATCACCTCGAAAGTCGTATGATAATGAAAGTATCATAATTATTTTAAAAGCGGATGATTTGATGGCTAACATAGTCACAGGAAAAATATAGACAAGTTATTCATCGTAGGATTTTACATATATTTTGTCATATAGCAAAAAGTACATCCTAAAAAATTTAATCCCAATTTAGTGTGGTGATTTACATTTAAAAAGCGTTCATTCGAATTTTTGTGAAAAGGTAACGACGAAATCATCGCTTTATTTTGTGAGTATAAAAAATATTGTATTGCCCTTTTTTGTGTAAAATATATATTATTATATTATTGCCCCTTTTTGTTAGATCACTATCTTTGCTTTATTATTTATTTTAAACATCAGTTAGAGAGAAAGCTTCGTTAGGGCTTGATTTAAAAATGATGCAATAAACTAATGACAAAATTAATTGCATCCAAGTAATGTAAATCTAATTATTTGCTACATCGTATTATTTCTCTCCCTTTTTTTGCATTACATTGATAACACGTTGCTCAAGTTTATTGTACGACACTTGGGTGAATTGGTTTTGCTGCAATAGTTGATTGAATATTTTTAAGTAAATTGCTAAAGTCTAAAAAATAATGTTATAGATTTTTGCATGGCCTGGAAATGCCTATGTAATTTACATATAAACGAGTGAAACTCAAACATGTTCTTCTTTTTCCATCAAATATACCAGTGGCGCCACCAATTTTACATATAAGCGCATACAAAATTTTCAATATGGCTGCGCCCATGAGAGAGAAAATTTCTTCTCATTCATTTCCGCCCCATGGATTTTTGAATTTGTTGTGATTATCAGTGCATGGGTTTTATGTCGTTGTCTTCTTTTTTTTAATTTTTTGCAGATGAGATTCAGATGGCGCGCAGTATAATGGCTGCCGTTGCTGCTGTCGCTACCACCACAACATCGTGCTCATGTACAAAAATCTCTATAATGCACTTGTTTCATGAAATGAAACAAAAATTTCCAACCGTTCCCGACAATGTCGTATGTGAGTTTGTTAGTCAAAATTGTCACGATCGCTTAGCGTGTATAGATGGTCTTGAAGATTATCCCAATTCGGCAAATGTATATCCAGCTGCATTACGAAATCAACCGATTAAAAAGAAAGCATCAAATTGCAATCAGCAACGACAAACCATTGGTCTTTCAATCTTAGCAAATACTGTTGCCAAAGAAAATGCAATTCCAAACATCGCAAAGAGTGTTCAAGTGAATATACCGAATACATTAAATTCAAACAATTTAAACTGTTGCACACAACCAGTGAATCGACCGACCCGGCAGGCACCACCTCCACCCACAACTTCTTCACCACATCAACAACAAAAATCTACACCGAATCTTCATCAACCGAATTTGAATCTCTCTGTAAATGTCATTGTTTCGGGCTCAGCACGGCAAACAAAGCCACAACAGCCATTATCACATTGTAGTTTCACTTTGCATCAACCAAACAACAATAACAGTAATAGTGATAAGAATAAGAAAACAAAAATTACAAGCACAACACATACCAATTCAAATATGCCCACTAGAACAACTGAAACCGATAACAATGTGGATATACCTAGTTTACGATACACAAGCAATTCATATGATGCCGATATTGGATATCAAAGTCGATTAGAAATTACAGTGGCTGGAACGAATTCAAGATTATCGAATGAAAACAATGAACAACACATGAAAAATACCGGAAATTGCATATCATTGCGAAGAACGTGTGAAACAACATCAACTGGAAAAGAACGTTACTTTCCTAATCTCATAGGAAGTTCGGAATTCATAAGAGAAAGTAAATAAATACTAAATATTCCATTTATGATAAAAATCGTTTTTGTAAACAAATGTATGCTTTTTTTATATAGCTAAAATAGTGCATCATCAAATATTGTGTAAGCAGAAACTTGTTCTTGAATTAGAAAAAGATCGAAAACGTTTGGAACGTATGCAACGTGAATTGCTTGCAATTCAAGCGCCATTGCCTCATGGCGGTCTTACGGCATTGAATTTTGAAATTGAAGAGCTACAAAAAAATTGCAGGCTTTTAGCTCAACAAGTAGAAGAGTCTGGTCCTTATGGTACGAATTCTTTCCTTTTTTACTATATTGCAACGAACAAGCGGTAAATTCAAATCATTACATTTTTTTCTTCACTCATTTCATTTTTGCAGCGCTTGGTGAAACAAATGAAGCGTTTTATCGAAATATTCATACAGGTCAACAGCAACAGCGACAACCTCTGCGACCTCATCGACCAGCTCCACCACCACATAGTCAACCAATCATTGAAACGAATATTGCCGGCGCTGGTAATGCACGTTTTAATTCATTGACACCAACAACACAATCTGCGTTGTAAGTTCCATCTAGATGTTCTACTATGATGTTAAAATTTGTACAGAATCTTTTTGATTTCACATTACAGCAATCCAATTCCCGTGAATGAGGACGCCGATTGGATTTGTAATTTATGTACATTCCAAAATAAGTATACACAGCAAACATGCGAAGCCTGTACGATGCCATTCTTATCAGCGGGTAATCATCAGAATCTGCCAATGTATTCATTGCCTTCGCATAATAATAACAGCAACACTATTAATAACAATCTGCATAACAATAATAATGATAATAATAATAATATGCTTCAATTGTATAATCAACCGTCATCATTGCCCACGCACACGTTTTCAACCATACCAACATTATCCGATTCATAATCCATGCATTCGAGAATTTGATGAGAAAATGTTCGCATAATCATACTAATTGTTAAAGTTTTCAAATGAGAATGAGTACAACTTTATAAGTCAACAGCTTCGTCAAAGACAATAACGCTGAATCTAATCGTTTTTGTATAAATTATTTCGTTTTTTTTTTGTCCTAAAAAAATTCAATTGAGAAAAATAATACATTTCTTTGTTTCATACTCAAATCACCACGATTCATATTTAGTGTAGTCCATTGTAATTTATATGCTTGAAAAAAAAAGCCAAAGGAAAAAAGCAAAAGGAAATTGATTGAGACGGCATATTTTTTCTAGCAATGTGTATCTTTTCTTATAAACCATTCCCTGTCATACGATAGAACTAGCTAAACAGATGTACCCGATATAGTGGCAATTTTGAACTGTATACGTGTGTATTTGATTATATATATTCTAATCTATCAACTGTTCCTAACCTTTTCCTTCTTCGACACAGTCCATGCACGAATATTTTCCTATTTTTTATATCTTTTAAGTGGATTGTTTTCCATTTTGTTTTTGGTTTGCTTTTTCCCTTTGAATTATGTACTCTCCTAGCTCAACAAACAAAAAAAAATCAATTAAACTCGCTTCCAAATATGTCACATAATGACCGAATGGATATTTTCGCCAAAAGGTAATTTAAAAGTACGTTCAATTTTTAACACATTTTACTCAAGAGTTTGATTTGACACTGCGCTTCTTATTTATATTTGTTAGCAACGTTTTTGTGAAATGAAACTAGATTTTTTTTTGTTTATTTCCAGTGATGTCAGCGAACGGCGAAGATATTCATATTCATTTGTTTCCGGGTCAAAATAGTAATTACACCAAATTTTCTTTTTTCTTTTTTCTTTTCTAAAATTGATAGAAGGTTCAAGTTTATTTTATAAAGCAAATATTTCATTTAAAAACCATTTCTAGCACGCGGATGCTAGAATTTTCATACTAATGGTATGGTATTTTGGTATCTCTTTCTAGGTGTGATACATTCGTGGGTAGTTTCTTAAAATTTTGTGAAATAGAAAAATAAAAATAGAGAAAAATGCATATTCATATTTTAATGTGGTCTCCCAATTGTCTACTTTGGAACCGATACATCTAATGGTAAGAATGATCAGTCAAATCCAACGAAAATTCTAGATGCAGATTATCTAATGAAATTTACACAAAAACAATAAATACGACATCAATGAAACCTTCCCAATAAACAATTGTTGTGGCAAATTCATTCATTATCGGGCATATGTTGACGGTCGAATTTTGGCCCGGATTTGTGTGTAGTTTCAATCGAATTCAACGTCATCAATTGAATGAAAACAAAAAACAAAAAAATTCAATTCTCGCGCCACATCACACTCAAAGAGAAAACAATCAAATCAATTCATTGCAATACACATCGAAATTCTAGTAAAAAAATTAATTTCAAGAAGAATACACAATAATAATTGAATTTCATCTCACCATCAGCATCACCAATTTTTTTGAAATTTTTGTATGAAAAGTGTGCCGAAAGTTATTTGTATCGCAAAACACCTACAGCGAGTAGCAAGCTTTTGTGTCACAGGGGCTATGAAAACAACCCCCCAATCTTCTCTTGACGCTCTCTTGGGTCTACCAAGGCTGGAAGACTTCATAGAGTCTGAAGCAATGAAAACGGCCTATAGATTGAGAATGGAAATAAAGACTAGGATAAGTCCTAGAAATTTGCATGATGATGCCCTAACAAATTTTTTCAAAATTGATGAGGTTCTGGGGGCTCCTTCTGAAAAACTCATTACGACCTCCTACAATTTCGATAGGAGATTCGAGATTATTATAAGAAAAAATCTCAATGAATTCTTCCAACAAAAACAATGGGTACAACACTCCTTTTTCACTGATGGTTCTGTCAGAGAATCAGGTAGTGGATGTGGGTTCTACTGTGAAAGAGAGAACCTCACCTATTCAATTCCCCTGGGACAAACAACAACAGTCAAACAGGCGGAAATATCTGGAATTATTCATTGCGCATACAAAATACAGGAGAACCCAGTACAGGGAAATATAGCCATCTTCACAGATAGTTTTGGAGCCATAACGGATCTTAATAATATTAAGATGCAAAATGCTTGGCTATGAACTGTTACGAAGCACTCCAGTGCATTTCAGAAACGAACACCCTTAGGGTGGTTTGGATCAAATCTCACATTGGTATTCGGGGGCATGACCTGGCAGATGGAGCGGCAAAACTTGCTGCACGTGATGTTATAGAGAGTCCAGAACCATACATACCAATTGAATATTCACGAGTCAAGAACAGTCTAGCTACTTGGCTCAGAAACAAATCCCAACTAAATTGGCAGGGTACGTTCTCATGTGAACAAACGAAACACTTCGTTCAATTCACATGTTCAAATCACTTACGATCGAATTAGCCAAACTACCCAAGGAAGACCTTCGGATGGTTATTGGTTTACTGACCGGACACGCCAGCTAGGGGGGAGACACAAACGATTAAACCATGATTCCAATACAAAAACAATAATCCTACTATTCCACCAATCCGTCATTTCATTGTCAAATGTGATGTCACATTTCGCCGCTATTCACTTTGTTGAAAACTTATTTATCGATACTGGAGTATGACATTTTGTTATTGATAATTAAAATTATTTTTTTCATCAATAAAATTTTAAGAAAGTGTATCTATTGTTTTGTAAATTTGTAATCGAGTTTTGAACTAAAAAATATTTCAAAAAAGAACAAATTACTATCTCAAAACAAGTTCAATGCTTTTATCAAATTCTGTACTATCGAATACAAAAACTTTGAATTAACCCATTTTCGCTATTCCATACACGGGATTAGTGAATCCATGAGAATCCAACTACTGAATTCTCTATTCCACTTTAATTACTCGAATTTTTACACTAAAAAGTCTAATCCTATTCCACGTGTCTACCCCCCAGCACGCCAGGGTCAATTATCATATGAGAAATTTAAATCTCAGAGATGACCCGGACTGTAGACTGTGTGGTGGAGAAGTGGAAAACACTGCCCATCTCATAGACAGATGTCCAATGTTGGATACTATACGGGCTGATTTCACGGGTTGGCGATCCTACCCTTTGATCCATGCACCGAATGTGTTCAAATTGGTATTGTTTTTCAAACGAGCATGCGATGAAAATCCATGCCTCAGAAACATCTTAGGATAAAAGACTAGTTTCGTGTATTGGATGTATATTCGAATGTCCGCACATGTGAAAGTCGAAACTTGGGACTAGGTTTAAATAATTGTACCAAAAATGTACTTAATTGTACCGCAATTTATTTTTATTCATTTTATTCAATTTAAATAGGACACTCCCCGTTTTAATCCAATTGAATTTTTCCCATGAATGCCCATGGGCATCACACCAGACATGACACTTTACTCTATCAACCAAAGTCGCTCAAAATCTAATGGTTTCTATTCCTCGGCACATCCAATCATCCTTTGAAGTCAGATTTTGAATTACTTTTCTTGTTTGAAAGTTATCGTGTTAACAAATTTTTGCGTACAGGGTACAGGGTACAGGATACAGGGTACAGCGTACAGGGTACGCACATACATTCGGACATCGAAAAAACGCTAGATTCGTGTTCCCTGGCCCCAAAAACACCCAGAAAACACATTTTTGATGGGTGTTAATTTTTCGACCGATTCCAATACTTTACCTTACACACTAGGTGTGTGCGGAAAAGTAAAAACGAAAAAAACGACAAAAACTTTAAAAATTTTCACTTAAACAATGAACACAAAGAAAACACACACACTCCAGCACAAAATAATAAAAAAATCGTCTTACCGTTTCAAAGAATTCCAGCAAACTGAATTGAGTTGACAAATTCGATATCGTCTTTGAGCGAATATTCGGGTATTCGATAATCAAAACCGAAAAAACTGAAAACTCACAGCAAAATTCCAAACAATAAATAACAAACACGAAAAATGTTGATGCAATAAATTCACTATTTCGATCGATGGCGAAATTGGGATTTCATACGTTGTTAGTTTGTGAATGTGCTGTTATTTAAAATAAAACGAGGATCAAACACGAACTTCACAGTGTAAAGAAATCTATTCTTTTGCAACACACATTAAACTCAAATGAGAAGAACCAATTGTCAAAAAAAAGACCGTCACGATGTGATGTGATGCGGAGATTACGAAGTATATTCTTTAATGTAAACAAATGATGATCGGCTTCGATGTGACTGACCACCAGCTGTTAAATTTCATACACATTTGAAATACGTTCCGGGTCCGAAAATTCGAAATTGAAATTTTATTCATGAAATAAATGTTCATTCAATTATATTCACAAAAATGACCAGCAAAATGGGTTAAAGCGTTACATTTTTTAACGTTAAAATGGATGAAAAACGATACAATTTTGTAAGCTTATTACACAATAATTAGCACTCTGTTCTAAGCGTAAAACGTTTTCCACTTTATATGGAAAGCTATACTGACTAAAAACAAAATTCAACTCAAAGTGTAAATCATTTATTCGTTTTATTTTATTAACGACAGCGGCACTAATAAACATCCGTTTTTGAAGTGAAACAGGTCGATAGATAAAACTGAAAATGTCGATTAATGACCATTTTTGCATCATAGTTATTTGAAAATGTAGCGCGCATGCATTACATGTATGTTTGTTTGTTTCATCGATGGTATTTTGGTCTGAAATCGAATCTTGCAGATGATGTGCAAATAGGGCAACTCGAATACGATTCGAAATAAAAACAAAATACAGGTTAATATATCCGTGATTTTCACGTTACACTCTCATCATTTCACATTTTATATAAATATATACATTTAAAAAAAAAAATTTGGTGTTGAGAATAAACAGAAAAGAGCCGAGAAATTGGTGTGTATCATGATCGCTCAAGCCAGTTTTCTTTTTGTCGCGTCGATTGTCGCATGCCTTTTAAACACCAATCAACACTAATTTCCACAATCGAACGAATTGTGAAATTATAATACTGACCTTTACCAATGCGAATGCAAACACGAATCTGTGAGCATACATTTTTTTTATTGCGAATTTTACTTGAAAAATTATTATTAAATTATTTTATTTTTATTTAAAGTGATTTGAATATAGTACTGTATTTATTTGTTGTTGTTTTGTGTTGTTTCAAATGTTTGGGCAATTTTTTCATCAAAAACAGACATTCAATTAATTTTATTGACTAATCTGGTAAGTACAGATTTTTATGAATATAACATACAAACTGTAGTATTGCAAAATGATTCCAGTATGAGAAGAATGATTGTAACTGTGTTTCTTTTTCCTCATTCCATTCCAAGATGATTCAAAAGATATTCATTGAGAAAGCGTTTTTTTAGATCAGAAGCGATCCAACAAAAAAAAACAATTGAATGGCTAAAGAAAATTTTACTTTCATTGTCACTTTTTTAATTCATCGCACGAATTGATATTGATTTTTGGAAAACTTGTTTCATTTACCAACCATAACGGATATATCCCAAGCAACAATTATATTTGTCAACAACAGTGCACTCTCTTTTCACTCTTTTGCATGAAAGATATAACGTACATATAAATCAGTAATGTGCGAAGGAGGGGGTTTACCCCCCCCTGTGATTTGGATGAGAAAACTTTTTTCGCGAAAATTATTCGAATTTGCTAGGGTTTTTGATTCTAAAAGTGAAGACCTTTTTTTTTGGTCATCAATGTAGAAAATTGAGGAGAATTCTTTCAATTTCCTAAGGTTTTTTGGTTCCGAGTGAATTTTTCCCGATTTGCTAGGGTTTTTCGCGCAGAAAATTCTTTCTATTTGCTAGGGATTTTCGCGTCAAAAAGTGACTTCCCAAAAAAAAAAAAAAAACGAAAATTTGTCTGATTTGCTAGAGAAATTTTTGGTTTCGAAAAACCACCCCCCCTGAAAAATTTTCCTCGCACATTACTGATATAAATATATATTGCTCCTGTGTACAGCGCTTACTGACAGTCGAATGTAGAATAATAGACCCATTGTTTTGTTTATATAAATAAAATGCTTAAAGCAGTAACAAATTAGCAAAAAAAATGAAGAAAACATATTTTTTTGTTCATATTTTTCATGTAAAAGAGACATGGGTTCGATTCCCATAGGACGCAAATTTGAACTTATTGGCTATGTAAATTGGGTTGCTTGGTTATTTAGAATATACAAGAAACGTTACAAATTTGCTCCTTGGGGAGCAACAGAGATACCGCCAATACACAAAAAAAAACGAGCTGGAGGTTTTAATCTTATATAATTTGATTATCGACTTACATTTATATATCCAATTCAACTTCAAACGACGTCAATACCAAATATAAATTTCATTTGCACTTAAGCACTTTTCAGTTGTTTGTTGCTTTCTTTTTATTTATAGTACCTTTCAAATACGCTTTTATACCTTTGTTAAATCTCCTTTTTTCCACAGAAAATTCCGCTGTTGTGAGGATAATTATTTCAAATGAAATCATAGTGCACATGCTGAATGATAGGCAATTTCCGTTATCCTTTTTTCAGAATGTTTTTATTTACTTTATTAATGAACGTATTCATATTCGATCGAGTTGCATCGTATCGAATTGGAAGTTTTAATCAAACATATGTCAATCGCAGGGGTGGATATCAAAAATTTCCACAAGCCATTCTATCCAGCAATGGTGTCAATATTTTTTATGCAGCTCAAAAATACACCAATACATGTGGCACACGGTCCATTAATTTCAATCCCAAACGAACGGCAAAAATTATCGGCGGTAACTTAATTTTTTTTTATTGAATAACAAAAAACTTCGGAAATTGTTGTATCAACAGTCTCCAAAAGCTATTTAACATTTTTTTTGGTACAAGTTAGATAGATATCATTTTGTTAAATGGAATATTCAGAATTATAATATTATTAATAGGTCAGTCAGCACCTTATGGTGCATTCCCCTGGCAAGTTGAAATACAAATTTATAACTATGAAATTGGCATATATGAGCATCATTGTGGCGGAGCTGTGATCGGTACATTATTGTGACATACATGCCTTATTTCTTAATTTGCAATGATTCACTTTATGGTTTCGATTTTTCAGGTGAACGTATTGTCATGACAGCCGCCCATTGCACAGAGGTTTGTTTAATTTCATACACAATGTATGTTGACAAAACTTAAATCTAAAGGACATGAAGTTAATTTTAAATTCACAGATTTCACAGCAACCATACTTACATTTAGTGATAGGTAATCATGATTTAAAAAAGTTTGATATGTATGAAAGGCGTTTTCACATTGAAGCGATTATAATGCATCCGGAATACCGTCGAAATGGTCCTTATAGCAATGATATTTCAATAGTGAAAGTTGCATCAAACAATGATGCTGGTATATTATTCAATACACACATAAAACCCATATGTTTGCCGCACAATGAAAATTTACCTAGCGAATGCTATATATCCGGATGGGGTGCTCAAAGTACGTAAAAAAATACCAAACTCTTTCTAATGAAGAGTTTAATATCAAAGAAAATCTATGTCAAGGGGGAAAGTACTAAATACGTCTAATACCAGTAATACGATCTAGTACAATAAAAATACCGATAAATACCAAGTAATACGATTTGGTAATGAGGAATTTTTAAAGCACTGACTGAGAGAAACGAGACACATGCAAACCGAAATAATTAAAATTCAATGCACACATTTTTGTTGATTTTGTTAAATATTTTTTACATTTTTGAAAAGTGTTCTAAGAAGCTGACACAATTTCATATTTAAACAAAATCTCTACACAAATCAGAAGATGAAAAAATATATTGGACCGAAGTTAAGTTAGATTTTTACATGTCAAAACTAACAAATTTTGTGTGTTGAAGAAATATACATATATAAAATCTTGTGTGTTGGCATATTTTTATGACATTGATTCAGTTATTTTGTTAAATTAATATTTTGTAATATTAAAATTGTAAGCAAGAGTGATACGAAAAATATTGTTTTAAAATTATTTTTCTTTCACACAGATGAATATCAGATCGCTTGTGAATGCTCTAAAAATGTGTAGTACTAAAGTGTATTACATGGTATTTTTCGGCATTTTTATTGTACTAGATCGTATTACTGGTATTAGATGTATTTAGTACTTTTCCCCTTAATCTATGTACTTAATTTACGCATTTAAAAGGATATATTTCGCAGAAAAATCTTCTTACATTTCACATTACGTGCTTATGTATTTTAGATGAAGACAATAAGAGCATGGCAGCAGTTCTTCGTGCAGCGGCTGTGCCATTACTTGATTTAGAAACATGTCGAATGTCAGATGTAAATGGTGGTCGTTCGCAAAGCATTTTAGATACGATGATTTGTGCAGGTTTGTCACACATTTATCACTTCAAATCAATGATCTTAATTTTCACCAACAAAATTTTTACCATGAAAAAGGTTTATTACAAGGTGGTGTTGATGCGTGCAATGGTGATAGCGGTCGGTTATTATATAAAATTATTTATTTCAAAATTCGCAACTTTTGAAATGTTGTTTTTGATTTTCCAGGTGGCCCATTGGCATGCGAACATAACAACAAATTCTTTTTGGTTGGAATTGTAATATGATATTTTCAATTGTTTCAATCAAAATTTCTCGTTTGTTTCCACCAAAATTATCTTAATCAATGTTTTTTTTATTATTCCTCTCTCTCTCTCTCTCTCTCTCTCTCACTTTCACACATATACACAATTAAAAGGTTTCTTGGGGTTCTGGCTGTGCAAAAAAGAATAAACCCGGCGTTTATACGCGAGTCAGCGCCTACGTTGATTGGATCAAAGAGACAATGAACCAGTTGAACGCATATTGAACAAATTAGTTAAAAAAAATTTGAAGAGAGCCACATCCATAAAAAAAATCAGAAAAAAGAACAAGTATTGTTTTGTTTATTAAAAAACTTAAGAAAAAATATAACTTATTCGATAAAATTACTTCTAAAGAAAAATTCTTTATTCTATTTTTGGCTGAAACTATAGAGGATGCCAGTTTTTTTTATCACAGTTCAATCGATTTGTGGTCAATAATATCTTTAACGACGATGATCTCTGGTTTAGAAACATTCATTTCAACCTGAACACTGTATAGAAGAAAATTTTTAATAAGACAATACAAAAATGTTATGACAGAATTAACACATTTCTCGAAAGATAAAAAAACAATTTATTTCGGTTTTCACTACCTTGCCGATTGATCATTCGACTCCGTTTTTTCCATTGGTACACAATATGTTTGAATAATTCGCAATTGTTGTTTGAGCACGGCAATTTCCGATTGAAGCGTGTGAATTTGACGATTTATTCTATCAAGTTCGCATAAAATAGCATAGCTGCCATTACCACAATTACTTTTTATGCCGTTTGTTTTATTCAAAATTGAATCATTTGCAATGAATGTCTTCCATCTCTGTGGATAAAAATGACGTTTACGCATTCGTCGAACTAAATGAAATGTTTGCCGGTGATGTTGTTGATTTACCATCGCATTCGACCAATCCATGTATGGCGGCAATTTCGGACCTTAAAAATTACAAAAATAAAAAAAGAAAACATAATTTCGTGCACTTCCAATTTAAAGATAAAAGGAAAATTATTTAATTTACTGCATCGTCGTTTTGATAACACTTCAATTTTATGCTGTGCATGTTGCTCCATTGTTGTAATTCGTTTGTTGTGTGTTTTGATATTATGCGATGTCGGCGTTTTGAACACACTTGTGAACAAAATTCAATACAACACAACACAAAATAATCGGCAGTCGGTGCATAACGGTTTGCCGTTACCAAAGACAATACACATACACTCAAATCTGACATGCGGCTTGCTTTGATACTAACTTTTGCATTGGTATCAAATTAAAAAACAAACAATGAAAACGAAAAAATAAAATCAAATAAAGTTTAATTTCGGTGTTCAATTTCACAATATTATGTAAAAAATATAATTTCAAATGTGTATCAATATGGCGCAGTGTCAAAATATTGCAATAGATGGCACTGGTTGCACACATTTTACGTACAACCAACTCAATTATCGCTATAATACGTAGAATCCAATGGAATTTTTTTGTCACATAATTTATTTTATATTTGAGTATGTGAAGAATTAAATGTTGAGAAAATTAAAAAAAAAATAGCCGAATATAGTTTCCATTTTATTTAAATCATAATAACCATAGTTTGCATTAGATTGTTAAAATGAGCTGCACCACATGGTGCTGCTCTTTCGGAAGATATAATTACCAATTTCGATTGGACGACATTTCGTCGAATATGTCGTAATTCGGTGTGCTGCCAATGAAAAAGAAGAAGAAGCCAACAACACTTACAACCATAAAGTGTGCAAGAGAAATGTATAGAAAAAAAAATAGATATATTGCGTGTTTTTTTTCTCACTCAACGTTTGTCGAACGAATAAAAAATATTATATAGCTGCTCTCAGTTGCGTGAATTAGATAGAAGTAATAATACATATTTTCTCCTTAAAATACAGTGTGCATATAGAATCGCATTAATTTTTGTTTTATTATTGTGGTGATAATTTATTTTGACCATAATATTTTGCATTTTTTTGCTTTTTTAGTTTTTGTCAAAGGTTTTGAATTTTATTTTCCGATGAGATAATAAACGGTTATAAAGATAAATATTTTGAAAGGCGAAAAAAGAAAGCAGAAAATCGCTGTGATTAAATTTTGAGTGAGTGCCTATTTCAGTGGAAAAAATTACTGACAAAGTCTCTCTCTCATCGACGCAATAACTGTAGAGCCGTACAATCCCAACCAAATTCAATTTTGTCAAAACAAGGTGTCCTAATCACTCTCGTTTCTAGGAATACTTGTTTCCCTGTCGAATATATAAAAACAAAACGACAGGATTGTCACCAAATTGTTTTTTCACTACATTTAATTGAGAGAACATTTAACAAAGAATTTAAAAAAACTAGTGAAAAATATTGGACAGAATACACCGGAAGAATCATAAACACTTAAATAGTGGACATTGGTATACAAAACGATCGAAACAATTAAAATGCATACATTCAGTGAAAACAGTTCAGGCGTGCCAGCATTTTTAGCAAAGCTCTGGCGGTTAGTCGAAGATGATGAAACAAATAATCTCATTTATTGGAATGCGGTAAGTAAAAAAAAGAAAAAAGATTGTCATCGCATCAAAGTCACAAATTTAAATTGAAACATTTTCGAACGTTATATGTTACTAAGCAAATCAGCAACAAATATTCTCTCAAAAAATTTTCATTTTAAATGGAATTGAAAAAGTGGATGGAGCTTTTTGATTGTAGGATATGCAATTGCAAAAATATACACCTAAAAATGGATCTCTCTTACTTTCTCTTCACTTCTGCTACCGCTCTTCCAATTGGCATATGAATCAAATCAAATGTAAAATCAAAAATATTTTTAGTCGTATGTTTTGCAAGTAAAATTTAAGATGAAGCATGTGCGGATATGACTACTCAAAAGTCTTTTTCAGTTTCATGTATGAAAGAAGTAATGAATGAATACTTTTTGTGTTTAATTCTGTGTATTCAGTATGTTTTGAATTTTTAATGTGACAAAATTTCGTGGAAATTTTTTTGACGATTTTCATGTGTTTATTTGTACGGTTTGTATTTGGTACATAGTTTGATATTATTGGTGTTGTTGCGGTATTTTCAAATGCTTCATGTTTCATCCAAAGACATACACTCTCAACAAAGGGGCTTTGCATATGATGTTAAATGCAATTTGTCATGTGTACACACAGACATTTTATAATTTCTTTTTCCACGAGATAAATGGAGAGCGAGAAAAACAAAACCACAATATATATCCGCAAGTTTAGAAGAATAATTATGTTTTTTTTTATTTATTTATGTGTTGTTAAAACTATTTTCAAGGATAAAGTAACTTTCCGATTATCTTAGGGCTTTAGTGATCGTATTCTCATTCATTTTTCTCAAATACATATGCTATATGTTGTAAATGCTGTACAGGAGAAAAAAATGAAAAATATTTTTATTAGATTGATATTCAAACACAATCAGTACACATTTTATTTTCATAAAAAAACTCGGAGAAACCATTTTTTGTGTATTTGGTTAGATTCCATAAAAATCATTAAATATTTGTTTTATGCTGTTTGATCAATAAGTAACTGATTGAAATTTGTCAATATTTATCCATCGCTTTGGTTTTGTATAAATTTTGTTGATACTTTAATCGAATCAGACAAATACTCGTCTAAATTTTGTGTTCACCCGGTTAGTCGTTAATTGTGCATGCAATGTGTGTTCTCCCTCTTTCACTTTCACTGTATATCTCTATTTCGTTCTTTTTTCCTTTGAACCAAGATAAGAGTTTGTTTGTCTAGAAATGCAGCCGAATATTCAACTCAATTGAGAGTGACAGTGATAAAATGGTATTGTTACGCATGGAAAATATGCAGAAACAACAGAGGCAAAATATACACACGATTTTTTATTACGTTCAAATTTATAATTTTGATTGGTCTAGGTTATATGAATATTAAATGATTACATTATATATTTAATTCATACAACAAATGTTTGTCGCATAGCTGTCCACGAACGTTCGTTCGTTCGTTCGTTCGTAGAAAATGAATTGGTCGGATTGTTCGTTCGTATGTTCGTACGAACGACGAACAACGAACACGTTCGTTCGTTCGTAATTTTTGGAAACTTATTTTCTCAATGTATACAAATATAGCGATAATAAATATAAATTGGGAAAACTTTAAATCGATTTTTCCCGCTTTTCCGATGGGAAATCGTGAAAAATAAGCAAAATGGATTCCAGAACTTCCATAATGTAATTACAATTAAAAATAAATACAATTACACGAAGAATGGGTTTTTTATAGAATATCTTTATGGAAGTTTTAGAATTCAGGTCAAATCATGAGAATTCATGGATCAGCCAAATTCCACCGGATTTGGACTTTAGGCTATTGAACCACTTAGGTTATTTTTCACGATTTCCCATCGGAAAAGCGGCAAGAATCGATTTAAAGTTTTCCCAATTTACATTTATTATCGCAATATTTGTTTACATTCAGAAAATAAATTTCCATAAATTACGAACGAACGAACGTGTTCGTTGTTCGTTGTTCGTACGAACATACGAACGAACAATCCGAACAATTCATTTTCTACGAACGAACGAACGAACGAACAAAATATACATTGAAAACGAACGAACGGTTCGTTCGATGGTGTTCGTGGACAGCTATGGTTTGTCGTCTGTATTCTTCGTTTTTGATGTATTTGTTGTTGGTATTGTCTGCGACCACAGTCAAATATATATGGAGAATATACAATACTCACACATTTAATGATTTAATACAAAGAGTACTCCATGAACTAAGTAGAGAGCTATGTGACGTCATTTTACCTGCTGATTGGTGTTTTTTCCTATATGTTTTTTATTCAAATAGACAAACTCTTGGCATACGAGAAAAAAATAAAGAAAATGTAATACATATAAAAAAATGCGCGAATTTAAAATTAGAAATAAAAAAAAGAGGTAGGACTACATATTTCAACATATTCATTCGATGTTTTGTCATATGTGTGTTAAGTTGAGTGAGATACTGAGTGAGGGAGATAAATAGCTGGTCACCAGCGTGTCTGCTTCGGATTTTTTGTGTGTGAATAATTGGCCGAACTTGTTTGTCTTATTTAATACGTTGCAACTGGATTTGTGTGTACAATTGAAACCTTTCTCTGTATTACATGTTTTCACTAGTCTTGGTACTGCATTTTTCTCTCTAGATCTTGTTATCGTACGCTTGTTAAATATATATATTTGAGTAAATGATTCAATAGATAAAATTAATGTTATTTCTGTTTGTGTGAAATCTAACCAAATCAAGACACGCGACACAAATATAAAAAAATTCAGCCATTACAATTGGGCTAAGATATTAGTTCGGCTTATGTTGTAGGATATAAAAATATCCCCTAAATTGCTTCAATCTCCCAAAATCTTGTCCTATTTTGTCGATAGGTTGCTATTTAGCACAAAATAGGAGATGTTTTTATGTCCTACAAAATAGCACGAACTAATATCTACAACAATATCTCATCAAAACACGACATACCATCAGATAATGCTATCATCAATAAATAAATTTATTGGTATACTTTATAAGATGAATCGAAATATCCCAAAGATTTCGTGATATTCATTAAAAATAATCCCTGCCGAGTCACTTGTATTTAGTCACTGAATTCTACTACAAAAAACGTCTACTTTAATATTTTGGATTTATAATGTCACAAAATCTTTGGGACATTTCGATTTATGTGATAAATTACACAGGTGAGTTCATTTATTGATGATAACGTTATCTGACGGTATGCGTTAAAAGGTTTTCAACATTTTCTCATCGCCTGCCGCCACTATGTCAATTTCATTTGTGTTTATTCTCCTCTTTTTCATTCACTTTTTAAAATCGAATGAAACTAAAATATACCAAATGTGTTTGTGTGTGATAACACATCAAAACATTAGCCAATTATTTTTTTTTGTTTGAATTGTATTTTTAGTACTCGCTACTATCACATTATGTGCTAAATTAACTCTGAGGTTCTACTTCTTTTTTTCATTCTCATACATGTTGCATATAATTTTCTACTTTCGTTAGACTCTAAAACGATGTCACTCTATGATTATTGTGAAAAATAACTATCTTCAATTTGAAATATCGAAAAAATCAAATTGGTGCTGTAAATGTTAAATGTAAAAAATGTAACAATTCGCTCTCAGAATTTGAAATTATTTATGAAAAACTATTGAAAATGTCAAAACTTACTAGCATTTTCTTGACACCTTTAATTTTATATGCCATGAAAATTATGTATCTCCTTTTCTTTTTAGTCAATAATAAGTTTTCTATTGACGTCATATTTCCCCATCTTCTTTTTTAATAGGATGGAAAAAGTTTTATCATTCAAAATCAGGCTCAATTTGCTCGCGAGATTTTGCCTTTGAATTACAAGCACAATAATATGGCGAGTTTCATAAGGCAGTTAAATATGTGTAAGTATTACTTAAATTTCTTTGTCTTTCAACTTTCAAGTTAATTGGTCGATACGCTTAAGTGTCTCGAATTCACAAGAAAATTCCATTTAATTTGTTTTTTTTTCTCTCTTTTTCGCTTTGCAGATGGATTCCATAAAATCACATCACTGGATGGTGGTGGTTTAAAATTCGATCGCGATGAAATGGAATTTTCTCATCCATATTTTCAACGTGATCATCCGTACTTATTGGAGCACATAAAGCGAAAAATTTCAACAGCCAAAACATCGGCGAATGTTGATGACAAATCAAATATAAAACATGAAATTGTGTCAAAAGTTTTGAACGATGTGAAACTGATGAAAGGGCGTCAAGAATCATTGGACAATCGATTTTTATCGATAAAACAGGAAAACGAAGCACTTTGGCGTGAGGTGGCCCTACTACGCCAAAAACACATGAAACAACAACAAATCGTCAATAAACTTATTCAATTTTTGGTAACAATTGTTCAACCACAACGTGGCAGTGGCATTGGTTCAATGGGTGGCATGAGTGGTGTTAAACGCCGCTATCAATTGATGATCAATGACATTCCAAATTTAACAAATAAAGTACGAAAGACATCCCCATCATCTCGAGCCAGCGCAGATGGACCAATCATTCATGAACTCACTGAAGAATTATTGGACAATTATACAGATGGTGCGGATGATGATGTGGCCAGCGTAAATTCACCGTATGTTGTGTCCCCTGGTAGTTTTCCCACAACAACTATTAATGATTATGAAGAAATCGAAAATATTGATGACACGGACCAAATTATTGCCGAAGATGATGATGCAGTAATGCCAGATGCATCGAAGATAACACCAACGACAACAACCACGGCCGCCACAGTGGCTAGCATAAATAATGATCATGGAGGAAATGTATACAATACAGGCGATTACAATTCGGATTTAATCTATGACTTAAATAAAACTCCATCGCTAATTGTTAACACGGCTGGCACATCATCATCTATCAATGTCGCAAATAATGTTGTTGACATTCCAGTCGAAGAATTGCTGGAGAATGTTCCGACTGGTGTACTGCCTGAACAATTGGCTACATTCATCAAACAAGAGTCAAAACTAAAGCAACCAACTCAACTTAATCAAACACAGCCATCAACCATCAAACAGAATATCAATCCAAAATTATTTGCCAACAAAAGACAAGGTTCGTTTTTTCTTATCCGATGATAAAGAATTCGCACTTATTTCCTTTCACATATTATCAATGTTAATTTTTGATAACAGGTAATGTGATTATAGCGAACGCAAGCGGTAATGTGCAACGTCTTGTTAAAATTGCGTCGAATCCAAACAACCAAACAAATTTGGCTGGCATTCGTCAAGCAAGTGCGAGTGGCAAAAGTCTAATCGATGCACAAAAGTTGAAAGCAGTCAAGCAGCAACAACAGCAACAGCAACAACAACAACAGCAGCAACAGCAGAATGAACAAAAGCAAGTTGTACAAACAATTCCACAACCTGGAAACAAATCAATTTTGATAACTGTTGGTAAGCCAAACGTATCAACGGCTTCTTCTCAACAAAATGCCGGCACCGCGGCTGTAAACCACACATTTGGAAAAACCTATAAAAACAAAAACGATTTTATTAGTTCAGAAATGCCCGCTGAACTTTTTCAGGATGATAGCGATGTAAGTACTGTTTACTTTTATATTGTTAGCGTAAACCAATTCATTCTATTTGTAATAGGGTAACTTTGACGGAAACGATTTGATCAACAATGACGATAGTCAAATGAACAATCAATTGACTAGTAACTTTGGGCAACCTACTAATCCAGGCACGAGTGGAATCAGCGATCTTTGCGACACATATGGCAAAGATTTAACCGTTGCTAAATACAATAAAGGAACGACACACGATGACATCATGCGAATCTCTTCAACGTAAGTAATTGATCCATCGAAATAAAAAAAATAACTTTAGTTTACTTGAAAAAGTCGAGTATTTATTCAATTTCAATAAAAGTCAAGTGACTATTTAAAAAAAGCTATTGATTTGGCCAAACAATATTCTCAATCCAATCCAAAAAGTTATAAACTCTTGTATAAACCCCAGGTGCATTGAGATCACCACATTGTTTGGCAAACGATGTAATTCCTGAAACAATATACATACAAGACACATATGGATGGTAGATTTGAAGAGGTCCACCACTGTCGCCCTGCGATTGAGAAAAAATAAAACAAATATTTTTTTAGGAAAGTGATTACAATCAATCAGCAAAAAGATCAGCTATTTCATATACCTGACATGTGTCTTTCTTTTCCGTATGGGAACCAGCACAAAATTGTTGTGCTGGTAAAATTCCGTAGCGTAACTGTGTGGTACGTGCTGCGTCCAAATAGGTTATATTACATTCCTCTTCGGTGAACAATTCCAAGATTACTTTTTGCAATACTTGACTGCTTGAACCACGAAAATCTGTGCGACCCCAGCCACTCGCGACCGCATTTGCCGTATTTGTATTATATTTTTCTGGTAAACATGCTGGCCGACGACGTGGATTGAATGTTATTCGAAGAGCCATTCGAACCAATGCAATATCATAATATTTCGCCGATCGTTTGAATTGTGGATGTGGAATTTTTTCCGCAATTTCCACTTTGAATGGATTATCGCGTAAATTATTGCTTAAATCATGTTCACCCAGTAGCACATATTTTGGAGTTCCTCTAAAATAAAATAAGATAAAAAAAAACAATTCAAACGAAAACAAAATTCAAGCATATAAATTTACTCATAACGACTCGTTTCCACGCAATGTGCCGCTGTCAATACAAAGTTTTCACTTATTAATGATCCACCGCAACCCCAAATAATATTTGTTTCAAAATTTCGTTCGTAACCAATTAGTGCCTGCAATGAAATTGTCATGAAATGCATAACATTTATTTTTATGAAATGAAGAAAAATAAATAGTTACTACCATATGCGGAAATTCGCCCTCACTGGCTATAGAGCCGCCGACAATAAGTGGCACCGTCGAAATTGTACATCGCTCAACTTTTTCCAAGATGGGATCATCATTGAAACCAACTTGGCTAAATACTCTGTCAAATTTTGCATCTTGATATTCTCTACATTCTGTGATACAATTATAAAATTCCATTACATACCGGCAATATTGTTTGCGATATCTGCATAATGCATACTTTTTTGGCTTACGCGTGTTGGAATTGGTGTTGTTGTTGTTATATGGCTTCGTGGTACTGGACAACAAACAATTTGTTTACGTCCCCAAAAACCACATTGTGCTGGAAATAATCCTTGTTGAACGATTTCATCGATGACCGACTGGCAATTGTCGATAATTTTACATACACCAGTTGCGCCACTTCGTGCCACTTGACACGATTCATCGATATTTTGGCCAATCACCAATATTGGTACAAAAACAATTACATAACACAGTTTCAATTGAGCAAGATTCATTTTCGATTTTTATGGCTCTTGTTTTACTTTAATTTCATTCTTCCGGAAAATCAAAATATGAATATTAATCTCTGTAAGAAAAAAAGTGGAAACACCAAAAGTGGAATTAATAAGTTATACACTTGTATGAAAAAGAATAAAATAATTAATGTTCACATAAACATTTGATGCACAATTTACTACAATAATAATCTCAAAAGTGGTTTTTAATGTCCAGACAAAAAATGATCCGTAAAATAACAAAGAAAACATTATCGTTTATATTTTGAGACAAAGTTTCAAAACCGGCACGCCGAAATTAAAAAGTGCAAGCATGTGTTTCGATTTGGATTATTTGTCTATTTTTGGTATTGGAATAGACTCGTTTGTTGATATTGGATTGAATTAATTTGATTAGAAACGTAATAAAAACACTTTTATAAAAACAGATTTGTTTTCATACTCGGTGAAACAGTCTTAGTTTTACACTTTTAACACTTGGGAAATTTAATTCAGTGATTAGAAATTCGATTGAATACAATAGCATACACACAACAACAACAGACGAAAACTTTGATCATCTTCATTCAAAAAATTTCGCAAATTAATAAAAATCGGCCGAGATTTTGTGCTTTTACGTGTTTCTTTTATTTATATGTATATTTCGATTAAAGATTTCATATTCATTCGTCGCGAACACAATCACATATATATCATCATCATTTTGCATTCGTTCGTCAAACGCAATACACGTATATTTTATGTATTACGATGACTAGACTTAGAGGTTAAATGCCACAAAACCGGTATTTCCGCGTGATATATATAAATGTTTGAGATTGTATTGTAATAATGCACGTATGTGTGATATATTGCGCTATAAAATCCCTACGATCATTTCTTTGTTTATTCCAATTTTTCGTGCTATGTATTGTGTATTCACATATATGTACTAATTTTTTTCTTCTAAAATAATTATTTTGTCGAATTTCTTCATTTATCGGCAAAAATGCTATTGCTTTGTTATTGTTTTTCTGTAAAACTGTTTCATAATTGTTGCAATTTGTTTCATACAAAATACACATATGCTAGGGGGGAGACACCCGCGAATCCATTCACCTTTTGTGTTGGATTTGTACGATTAGTATGATTACAAAATTTTACAAAGATTCACATTCGATTCAAATTTTTGATTTAAATTGCTATGATTCCAATGATTTGCACAGATTCACAGATTCGTAAAGATCCACAGATTCATTAAATATTTTTGTGTTTTTTCTTTTGACCTACAAATGTATATGTTGATTTTATAGAAAATAAATATGCTAGCAAATATAAATTAAAATAAAATTCAATTATTTTTGTTTATGCAATGATTTCATTTTTACCGACTTTTAACAATGGAATAAAATTTAACTCAACAATCAACACATTTTATATAATTGACAAAGTGACTTTGTCAAAGTCCCAATGATTCATGAGATTCTTCGGATCCTTCGGATTCTTCGGATCCTTCGGATTCTTCGGATTTGTGAGTTTTGTGTTTTTTATTATAATTCTAATGGGATCGTTGGAATCAATGAAATTATACAATTGAGTATTTTAATATAGATTTTTCATTTTGAATTGGTGTCTACCCCATAGCACATATGTCATATTCGTATTTTGCTTGTACTGTTGTGATAACTACATTGTCTCCTTGTCAAGGTCGCCAATTAAAGTAAGAACAAGTCACAGCAACAAAAAGAACATAAAACAATATGTTTTCATCTGTTCAAAAAAAAAACATCATAATTAATTGTCAATTTGAATTGTGTATTCACGTTTTTTTTACTTCACTGATATGATGCATCGATCAATAAATATTCAGAAAATACCGTCGCAATTTAAGAGTCTTCATTATGAAGCTGCGATAGTCATTTTCGTTCCGTATCTGATCGATACCAAACATGTATTATATAAATAAGTGATGCATCATGTGTACCCAAATTATCACATATTTTTCGATTCAATTTACTAATCAATGTTTCATTTCATGTTCTTTGCAAGGTTGCCATATTTAATTTTGTTGTTGAGGATGATTTTGTTATTTGTGATCGCAAATAATTTACGAAAACTATTCTTCTCTATTGCAGAGATCAATTACATAGCCACTTGGATAATGTTCAGGGTGACTTGGAGGCGCTCAAGGAATTTTTACGCGATGGTGAAAGCTATCAAGTGGACGCAAACACATTGCTTAACGTAAGTATTTGTAATTTTATATAAATTTTTCTTTTTTTTTTTGCAACGATAACGAGATTCCTAACTTTGGAGCTCTTTTAATTAATCAAGATCAAAATGAAATTATTCAAAAGTATAACAAACTCAAAAGATAACTTTTGCACGGAAAATCATACACTTTTCTTTTATTCAAGAGATAAGATTATATAAATTTCTCGTTCAATTTTTCCGACTCTTTTACGACTTAACTTTATTTTAGTACTGCTGCTCTCGTAAAATCGTAGATGATCTTCATTTTTTAAACTTAAAACACAATTATTATTATTATTATTTAAAAAATGAATTTTTTTATTCTCTTCTTTATGAATCAAATGATCGGGAAATGATGGCAACTTTAAATGACGTTCAAATTATGACAAAAATTGTCTTATGAAATAAAACATATGAACGCCGAATTCTCAATATATCACACAAATATTCTCTATTCATCAATCGATCACATTTTCAAATTCACTGACGATATTATCAAATTGTATAAAAAATGCATTCGATGAATGTGCGTTTGGCGATATGAATAAAAAAATCACTAACAAAATATTGGTTTGAATTCAAATCCATTCAGAATTCAAACAACTCATCAGTGCTATCAGGGATAAGTGGTGAATCGTTATCGAGCATTATTAACAAGGTTAGATTTAATACACATTACAAAAAACTACATTAAACGTAACTCGTTTTTTATTGGAAATTTTTTTATTGCGAGTTTCCTCTTGTATTCCAAGAATAAAACAAGGGGAGACTATAACTGAACCTTAACAATGTTAAGTTAACATTGATCGCCAGTCCAAAAGAAGGAAATTGAGCTTCGTATTAAAAAAAAATTCCGTTGTGATTATTTTTTATTTTATATTATTTTTCCTGTCAAAAGAAATAGCTTACTATTGAACAAAAATTATAAACATCGAAATATTCAAAGAGCGTCTAATGAATTTTAATTGAGAATTAAGTCCAAAACTATAACAATAAAATAATTCATTATTGAGGAATTCATCCGTAGATATGTATGTGCATTGGGAAAAACACTGCAAACGTTTGATGTAGTGTATACCGTGTTTTATTATATTGATCTACAAAGTTTTTATTCAGACTCAGATCCTTCTATTTGTCATTATGTTTAAAGACATAACTGAACGATGGAATAAAGTTCTGTAAATCAATAGAATACACTATATGAGCATAAGCACTTTCAAAAACACATTTTATCTAGTGTCAATCTTCAAAAAAAAAATCCCATAAAGATTTTCTGTTGGCGATGGGGAGGCTTTTCTTGGACGATAAAGAGGGTCTTATACCCACCTATGCCGCGGTAGACAACAAATAGTTGTGAGAAAATAATAATTTATCTATATTTATACTTTCCTTGATTTAGTTATTTGGTGAAAATGATGTTTTCCAACAATATGGCATACCGATGAATCCAACGGACACAACAACCATCCCTGGATTAAATGAACAACGTCAACGTAATCAAAACGACGACACGTCGATGAGCTCCAAACCTGGCTGTACAGGATCCGAATTGATTAGCTATCAACCAGGACAAAATACAATTGATTTTACTGATTTTTTAAATCTTGATGACAGTCAACTTACGCCAGGTTCGTTGGCATCGGGAAAATGATAAAAATTATATAAAAATCAATAATAAAACAGAAAAAAATACAGAAACAAATTTCCCCATAAATCATTTTCGCAAAAAAAAAAATAATCAAAATTTAATAAAATGATGGACTGAATGTAAAAGTGAAATAATAAATGAGTAATGCTCAAAATGTTGTAATGAAATAAGATTGTCGTTTCTCATAATCGATCGTAAATACGTTTTACGTGTAGAATTGTTGTGCAAAGGAGCGCCCAACGAGATGAGAGTTTCGTTGAAAAATTGAACTTTTACATATGGGAATATTGATATGTAAGAAAAGAAAATTTTAACGCAGTTTTGATTATAAATCTCTTGTTTATACAAAATTCTCGATTAGATGCTGCAATGTCAACCCCAGCATTCAATTCGACCAATCAGAACAATTATATGCCACAAATGCCATGTGCAAATCCAATCATTGGAGATCTAACTACGCCATACATAAAACAAGAACAATTCAGTTATCCCAAATGAAACGAAAGTGATGATGATGAAGATGGTGGCGATGATGATGAAATAATTGGATACACTGAACCTGGTATTTTCTTGACAACACACACATGCCAATTTAATATTGTTTTGTATAATAATTTAAAAAAATAATAATGGAAAAACACAACTGAAGAGTCTATTTTTTATAACAAACTGGTGTAACTAAAATGACTCAACAGCTAATAGTTATTAATAAGCAAGAAAGAAAAAAAACACAAAAATGTATGGTGCTAAGTGGTAAATTTTAAAAATAAAAATATTTGAAAAAAATAACGAAGAAAAACTTTAGGGAAATCAATGCTATTGCAATTCCATATCAATCACATGCGTAATATATACATTGCTTTTAATTCGTTTTTCATAATCAATATAAATGACTCAATTTGCAAATTTAACTGAAAACCATCATCACCGTCTTATTAGAGATGATTCTATTTCAAAAGTATACAAAAGAACTTCATAACATTCATAAAGTTCTGTCTCCGAACGTCATAGCATAAATAATTAATTGTTATGCTTTAAAGCAAAGAAAATCAAATGTTATTATCAAGAAGTAAGCTTCGGAAGAACAAAGAAGTAAAGATCGTTTGAAGGTCGCAAAATCGCGGGCAGATATACCAAATCGCTAAAGAAGTCAAATGAAAATGTTACATATGCATTACAATAATAATTTAAGTAATTTATGTACTTTGAACATGTGAATCTTTGCACTAGGCACTTTATTTCTTTTCAATATCCATGAATTTTATAAAAATTTTATTAAATATTTTTGGTTCAAATTAATCTTAAAGAAACTACTTGTGTGTATGTTTTTTCTATTTGTAATATTTATATTATTTTTAAATTCGACTCATACTTGATCGAAGTAGAAATTTAATGGTGATAATTGAAAAAAAGTAAAGAAAGGTAAACAAAAAATCCAATTCGGAATCGGTAGGTGGGGTGGTGTAATCGGAACTCCTACTGATCAAATATGCATCGAATCCTTATTCTTCTTTACTGAAACTTTTTAAATAAATATTGTGGTCTATAATTTCTAGTCAAACATAAGACATACAACGAGATTGGCTTCTTCTTTTGACGGTACCTGAATGTATGATTCCGGAATGCACCATTTGCTCTCTCTTCGCGTTCACCTGAGCTTATCGATTCATCGGAGTTTTGTGTTTCATTGGAGTTTGTGCTTTCACCGCTGTCATTTAAACTTGCATTTTTACCAAGCGGTGCAAGTAAAGTAAACCATAACCGATTTAAAACTTTCTCACATGCACCTTTATTTAGATTTAAAGGCTCTTTCCACTGGCTTCCAACCACTTTTCCAGCCGTTTCACTAATGGAAAATACCGTACTGCCGAGAAATGAAAAATGATAATTTTCATAGTGAGAATAATCTCATTTTACTATAATATGAAAATCACTTACCAACAAAGTTAGAATGACATTATTTTCTTGAACAGTTCCACACAAATTATAGACATGCCGTTTTGTTCCGCCTATATATCGAATCGAATATACATTTTTCTTGGTATTCCAATCTTTTGGCAAATCGATCGATCCAATTTCCTCTTCTTTTAATTCTTTCTGTGGAAAAATGATTAGTAAATTAGGAATATTTCTTGTTTGTACTTATGGAAAAGACATTGTGTGTACTACCGTACTTACACCATAGCCATTGCCTAAGCAACGAAAACTTTTATATGTCAATAAATAATATGCCATTAAAACAACAATATCTGAATCCACATTTAATTGTGGTTTTGTTAATTCACAAAATATAACAAAATCCATGCTGCTATTGTTAAAGAAAATATTTATTTCGTTTATTTTTTTGTAATTTCGGACAATGCACCGATGTAATCAACACTCTTTTTTGAAATGCTTCACAATAAAGTTGTCTGCAAATGAAATGTCACGTTTGGATCGGTATCGATTAACATACAACAGTTTAATATGGTGCTGACATCTATGATATTTTAATCAAAGGAAATCCATCTTAATATTTGATATTAAGCCCATATGATTATTCTGGACGTCATTACTGTGTATCCTGTAATCATGCAGTCGTAGGGCATCCATGTACGGAAGTCGTATCAATTAATATAGTATCTTAACAAGATATCCCCATGCCCGGGCAAACGGAACCTCATGTAGGACTCAAGGAACAGTAAAGCCCTTCGCTAATAATTGTATAAATGATGGACAATGTTATGGGATTTGCAACCGCGATGTTTATTTGCAGTGGAGGTAATAATAGTTGCGGCTTCAAAGTTCGCAAGTAATGCTTCATAAACATGTTCCGAATAACGATGCAATATTATTTTGAATCTGCTCTTTTTGTGATATTCTATAAAAATGTATTTGAAATTCCTTAGCTTAGACATCATGGGAACACCATTTTTATAAGAAGTGACTGACTAGCTGAAATCAACAATTGAAAAATGAATTTTGTTAACTAAAACCGTCTACCCAGTCGACTTTAGTCGTCTATTTTTCTGTTTTTTTTAAACAGACGACTATTTTGGGACGTTAGATGGCTATAAACAACTATGATTGAAGATGATTTGAGTAATATTTTTCTCGACTGAAAAATCAAGCAAATCAACCTTAAATGACTTCAATCTCAGTTGGTTTAAGCCAAGAACGTCCCAAATTAGTTAACTGACACAGTCAGTAATTTTTCACACTAGATATACTGGATCTTATATACTTTTCAGAACGAGATAATGCAGCGAAAAATTTCGTTTTAGAAAAAAACAAAGCGAAAACATGTTGTGAATAATATTTATTTATTTTATTTATTCACATTCAATTTTAAGCATCTAACTTGGAATCTAGAAACCATGTATTTCACTTTAAAATCATTTAAATCAAACCATTTGTTCAAATATTATTCGTATTTTCATTTTAATTATTCATTATATTAGGTGAGCATCGTTCGATTATAATAACCGTATTAGGCTCAATAGGGTGGAAGTATCTAATTATCTGGTAAGAAAGTATTTTGGTAAATACAGAAAGACTTTGCTATTCAAGAATTCAACTAATTTAATACAGTGTTTGTCATTTGGCTTGCTACAAGCAGCTTGCTTGCATGCGTTGCCTATCGTACGGCAAACAAGCAAACATGCAGACACATATACGGCTAAACGAATCATATGTATTACACGGTTTTCGTGTATTTATTTGCAACATTTGCAGGAAAAGTCCTGTATGAAATGCCTGAAATTGAAAAAGCCAAACTGTATAGGTTAATATATTTTATATATTACGCATGTGATTCATTTCTTAGGGAGACTTATTCAAATGCATCCATTTAGGAGGTAGACTATTCAGAATGACTTTTCTCATAGGTAGACTTGATTGAATGCATTCATTTCATAGGAAGACATATTCAAATGCATCCATTTGGGAGGTAGACTGTTCAGAATGACTTTTCTCATAGGGACACTTGAGCGTGTGTGCTTTCAGATAGAGACCACAAGTGTATATGTACTTACAGGTATTATAGTTTGAAAGATCTCTTCTCTTCTTTTTTTCTACCCAATGTCTACCTTATATATACCTAGGAAATATTAGTTCAAACCACAATTTCTGTGCAGTATGAATTTTGTATTGGGAGCTCATTGTTTTGAGCTGCTCATATACACCAAAATGAAATTCCAAGAAGTTCTTACGGATCTTAACATTTGTAAGGTCTCTACCTCAAGTCTACCTCAAAAATATATCATCGCTAGTGTGGCGTTTTCCTCAGTTTAGATATTCATAATATATATCACTTTAAGGTGAACGATTAATTCAAAGCTACATATAAAAAATGGATAAATTTGGAAAAGAGCAAGGTAAAAATATATTATTCTAAAGGTAGACTTTAGGTAGACTTGATTAGGACTATAAAAACGTGGAGACTAAAAATAGTTTCCGTGTTAGTGAAGCCTAGCGGCAAGTTAAATATACAGAAATATTGATCCATGAATATTTTTTTCAACTTCGAGGTACACTTTTTTTGTTTTGTGGTATCTGCCCGCGATCTTACGACCTTCAAACGATCTTTACTTCTTTGTTCTTGTGAAGTTTACTTCTTTAATAAGTAAAATAATATTTGATTTTCTTTGCTAAATTAATTATTTGTGTTATGACGATTGGAGACAGAATTTTATGAATGTTATGTCATAGAAAAGTTAATTCCATATATTCTATTCATTTGTTTACATAAATTTAGACAATAAATGTAAATGTCAAGGGCTATTTCTTTTATCAAACATCGATTCATTTGCACTAATTTGTCCTCGATTTGGAAAATAAAGTAACTTTTTTTACACAAATCGTTTGAAAAACACATAGAAATGAACACCATTTTTTTCGTTAGCAGACTGAAATATATTTTCGTAACGTAATTAAATCTGTCTAAAATAGATTAAAATGTGACCAATTAATAAAATGCTGCAGCCAAAAATGTTTTTGTTTCGTCCACATTTTTTTTAATTACACCAATTGAAGGATTTGCTTGTGAAAAAGCGACGTCAATTTTGGTTTGATTTATTAAATGTGTATTTGTTCCGATTTGTTCTATCTTAAATATACAACTTCGATAATGCAGTTTTCTCAGATTTAAAATGCCGCTTGTATCCATTTTCAATAGCTAACGGTTCAAACCGGAACAATTCAGCAAATGTCAAATGGAACAATTCACTACCATCATTACATAGAATATATAATGTACATATGTTAAAGTTTGACAGTTTATCAGTATTTTTTTTTTGCTGGAAAACAGATTCAAGTGAATGCAAATTATTTTTATTGTAGTGAATTAAAACAACAGAAAAAAAGAATTGAAATAAATCATTTATGTATATTTGGAACAGTAAAATAAACGTCCGAGGAAAAAAACTTGTAGGAAGAAGTTGTAAAAGAGTAAAAACCAAAATTGTAGATAAAGCGAATAGGATCGCTAGTATTATTCATTTGTGTAATTGTTGGTTTATTCGTGGTCCAAATTGTGTTTGGTATTTTGCTGAATTTCAGTCAATCGAGAAAAGTGTAGAATATTTTACCAATACGTTTTCACAAATGATTGTGCAAACAGCATAATGCATATAAGGAAAACTGACTAAAGTAAGTTAAAACATTGAATATATTTTTCGCTTTTCATTAATCTTTATATTTTCCATCCGAATCATATGATTTTTATAGTTCGTGAATGTAGTTCGATTATTTAAAAAAAATCTATATGAATAATATTATTCTAAAGACGCTTGATAATTTTTTTGTTGGTACATATATCTTCATTTTGTCTATGTATATGAATATATAAGATCAATAGATTTGTCGAGAGTGTGTTAGTAACTTTTCCTTCACCAAACGCTCATATAGGTTGGTCGGTATGCGAGCGGTTTAATAGACACATAACATTATGATGTATCTCTCTCTCTCTCTATGTGTGTGTGTGTATGTAAGCGTTGTTGTCAACTCTTTGTCGTCTTCATTGTTGCGGTTGTTTAGACAAAAAAACGTTGTACTTTCCGTACCGCAAATTGATCTTTTGAGCCTGGTAATTTATACCAAATAGAATTTGAATATAAATTGTTATCTTTTTTCCTAAAGACAATTTTCATATGAAATAACTCCTTAATCGTTGATCAATTGAACTAAATTTTAAGGTCCGTTATGTTTTCGCATCTGGTAATAATAAATAGATATCGATGAATTCTATAATCGTATGTGTTTTTGGGTGACCATTGGAAAATGTGTATGTGTATCTCTCCAATAAATGTTTTTGGTTATCGGTAAAAATGTCTTGCTCACATACACACATATACGCAGCGTACACATATCAATCATCTTAAAATGGGTTTGTGTTTGCGGTATAAATGACTACAGTATCGACAGTTTTGGTCACAAACACGGTTGAGACGAGAAGTAAAGCGAACAAACTGAATGTGCTTCATCTGACAGAAGTTGCAAAGAAATGTGTTTTGTGGGGTTCGCAAATGATTCTTGTACTGTTGCTTGGTTGTATGAGTTTTCGGTAAAATCGGTTTGTTTTACGTTCATTGTCATTGAATTACATTTCTGTCTACATACTAACAACACCGTGTGTATATTCACTGTGCTAACTCTCAAAAGCCAAAAAAAAAACGAAAAAAAGAAATATTTTCTAAAATGGCGATATCACGTCTTATTCAAATAGAGTGTATGTAGTGAAAATTTCCAAACTATTTCACATATTTTACCGTGTGCATTTTGTATTTCGTTTTTATGAAGAAATAAAATTCTCATCACAATCCAATCTCGAAAAAAAACGAAATATAAACGAAACTGAATTATCTTAAGTTCATAAAATCTTAGACAGAATTGAAACAAAAGCATAAAGAAGCAATTCAAACCATTATTTCGTCGAATTACGATATTCTTATTTAACGCCATCAACAACAGAAAAAGTGAAAAAGTTTTACGTATAAATAAAAATATTGTTCTCTCTCGTGTCTCTTCATACTACAAATTTTTACGGCATCGAGTGAATTTCAGTGCATTGCATTTTCAATATTTCATTTGTTAGTTAATTTTTGTTGTTTTTGTTGTTGTTGTTGTTGTTCTTTTCTCAATTATTGATTGAGTGTTCGAATCGAAGAAACAACATAAAAATGTTAAAAGTCTTAAGTGAGTAAAATATTGGAAGTATATTTTTATGTACGAGTGTAGTGAATATAAAAAAGAATTAGGAAAAAATGACTTGATGACTATTGAAAAAAAAAAAACAAACCAAGAGAATATGATGCTCATTTGTTGATTTTCATACAAGAAACAAAAAAAGGTACTGCACATCAATTGATTTGAATGTGAATTTCAGATTTAAAAAAAAAAAAACAGATGAAACTTAAAAAAGTGCAAGTTATTGAAGATATACAATTTAGAATTTGTTGCTGTTGCGGTCATTGTCAGGCCATTCAAATTTGGTGTAAATAAAACCGTTTTAGATTTTCCTATACACATTTTAAATACAATGAATTTAATTCAAAAAAAAATTCAAAATGAATCCCATGTATATTTGTGAATGCGAGTGTGCAGTATAACAGGAAAATATTTACAAATAGAAAAAAGATTGTGCGCACTTAACAACCAATTCTCGATTGTTCGGTAGAAATATAGAGACAGGCCTAAGTTTATAGTCTGCACACGTCAAACGGAAAATTCGATTGTGCGTTCATTTTTATTTTATTTTTGCTTCTTTTTCTCAGTAAAAGACTGTATGTATGCCTCTTCAGTTCTTGTATATATAATATATGTTATTGTTCAGTTTTGCATTATTACTTTTATATTTTCTGCTATGCATTTTTTCCGTCCGTCAGTCCTTTACTATTGCATTTGCTCTCTTTGCCATTTTTCAATCCACATACATGAAATGCTGCATTGAAATATATGTGTCTCAATTACTACTATAAATGTATGTAAATGACGACCAGTGTATTGCTGTTACAGTTTTTATTGCTGTCCCGCTTTCTATCTATTTCTCTTACGCACACTCTCTGAATTTTTTTCTTAAATCAAACTAATGTTCAATGCACTTTTTTTTAAATCGTCGTCGTTGTCGCTGCTGTTATCATTTTGAATTTTTGTTCGTGCATATATTTTTTGTAAAATAATCGTGCATTGATTTTACGCGAAATTTTTAATGCTTGCGTTGTTATTGATGCATATTATTTTTAAAAAAGAATGAAGACATTTAAAAAAAAATAATAAAAATTTCAAGTTTTGATGACCAACTCAGTTTTAGTTTTAACTGATTTATATATTATGACCATTTATCATATACAATCTCTATCTTCCGTCCATATATATTTTTTGGTCTCTTTCTGTCTTTTTAATAAAAACGGAAATATTAAATGAATTGTGGTGCAAGTCCCTTAAGTGATAGAAGAAATAACTAAAAAAAAAAAACAAGAGTAGGCCAAGAGAATTTGTTCAAAGGAGTACATGACCGTCGAAAAATGTGTTCATAAAAATATATTTTTGAGCATTTTGTACATATGAAACGGTTCCTACATTCACAAAAAGAGAAGAAACGAACTTACATCTCGCAATTCAACTGAAATCTTAGTAATACACAGACAATGTACCCGACAGTAAAAATGTATACGTATGAAACAACAACAACAACAATCTCAAATATACAACGGTGCAACACAATGAGCATAGTTCTATATTATGCTGCTATTGTGTATATGACAAGAGAGCTTTTAAATGCCGAACACTAAATAATAGACTTGACACTGAGTGTATACGTGTGTATGTGTTGAATACACACTTGTAAGTTCTTGTATGCTTGCGATGCCTTTGAATCGGCCCTTTATTCGCGTTCTCCTATACACTTGCGCAATTTTGACATTTGTACCACATGTGAATGTATTTCATTGTTGGTATATGTAGAGTAAAGCCTATTCAAAAAAATACTCAGTATATTGTTAATTCTGTCAAGCCCGTGTAAACGAACCCACATTTCGACAAAAAAAATCAGATTTCTTGCATATCAAAGTTTGATTTTGTTTGTAATTGACAGTTGAAATTTTTTTTTTTTTTTTATTGTCTTTCGTTGTTTGAAATGAGTTTTATTTTTTTAATGTTTTCTTCTTTTTATGCTCAAGTAGAACCAGAACATACACGATAAGTGAAAATGGGCAAACGTTATATTGATCATGATTCGACATTGGAAACACCGACAAATAAAAAACGTAAAACTGAGTCGTTACATCATTCATTTGTCGATAGTTGCGCCGCGATAGAAAATGGAAATCAAGTAACTGGACCAGGTAGTGGTGATATATCGTTAGCTACTGATGTCACCTATACATTAACCACGGAGTTGGTAGAAGGTGCCATTCTCACCGATCTATGTGCACGGAAATGGAGATGCGGTAAACCAATTGGTAAGTTTGGGACACTCTGTATTCGAAAATGAAGTAAAATTATATTTCACTCTAATTGATATATATGTATTACTTTTCCGCTTTTCAATCGAAATAGGCAAAGGCAGTTTTGGTGAAATTTTCTTAGCTTCCGACGATATAATCAATCCTGTAACTAGTGACAATGCAAAATTTGTCGTAAAAATTGAACCACACAAAAGTGGTCCATTGTTCGTTGAAATTCATTGTTTGATCAAAGCTGGAAAACCAACTGGTAAGTTTTTTTCTCCAAAATCAGAATTAAAAATTTGATCTAAATTCATTTTTGGTTTTTCCATTTGTTGTGTTCTCCTGCATTTTTTGTTAATTTAATCATCGAAAAGAGGAGAAACCATTACCATTGGGCATGCCAACATACATGGCATCGGGTGGACATTATTTTGGTCAGACTCGGTATCGCTTTCTAATTCTGCCACGATACGATTTTGATTTACATTCCATAATCCGAAGCCGTCAAGTGGAAACTAAAAATATTTTGATTATTGCCAGCCAATTGATTGATATATTGGAGCATATACATGACTGTGGATACGCGCATTCAGATATTAAGGCTGAAAATATAATGATTGGTAAGTGTAAGAAACAACAACCTGGTACCAAAACCAATGCAAAAAGTCAACAAAAGTCGAAAGGTATTGTTGCCCGTCGATTACGAATGACATTGGTAATGAACAATGACATGGATATGCCCCGACAAGCAAAACGAAATGCCAACACTAAATCATATGCCGAATCCAATAGCAGTGTATCGAGTACTAAATGGGAGGATAGCGATTTTGGTGAAGATTTTGAGAAAATGAGTGATGAAGACGACGACGAAGATGAGGATGATGATGAGGATATTATATCCAATTCAGGTAAGCTATAGTAATTGGAAAACAATTCGACAAAGAAATATTTTACATAATTTTTAAAATTTTCATTTTTCTCATTACCTTGCTATTACCTAGGGGCAAAGCAGTACTAGAATAATCATTTTTGTTTAAAGTAATTCTATGTTGTGAGTAGTAATCTATATTAATCCATAGTAATACACACTTACGTAAATTCTAACAGCAGTGCAATGACGTTTAATATGTATGTTATGTATGACATTTGCTAGAGATGAGACATTTTATTGTTAAAAAATGGAAAATATCGAATTTAATTTAATAAATATCGAATAAATTGCTTCAATTCGCAATTACGACGATCGCTGTATTCCTAACGAAACGTACACATGAAACGTCATTGCACTGCTGTTAGAATTTACACAAGTGTGTATTACTGCGGATTAATATGGATTACTACTCACAACATAGAATTACTTTAAACAAAAATTATTATTCTAGTACTGCTCTGCCCCTAGGCTATTACAAATGAATGTAAATTTCAATTTTTCATTTTTTTTTATGTTCCGTCATTTTGTCATTCTAGATCTGGGATCGGTAGAAAGCTCGGCAAATTCGACATCAGATAAAGATTTTAAACCGTTTTCACGACGTCGCTCGGCAAAAGTGGAATTTAGTGGTTCAAATCCAATGCGTTCATGTCGCAAAGAATCAAATAGCACTGAAACATATGATGCAATGGTGCAATCACATTATTTACGTCGTTCTACGAAAAAAGTAAATTATTGTGAAAACGATGATGAGGAAGTGAGCCGAAACAGCGATATCGATGACGACGATTGGGGTCGAAAAAATAGCTATCTAAAGCGAATTTATTCATTGGAAAAGAGCCAACCAACAAAATCCCAAAATACTCTAAAACGTCACCAAAATTACAATGGTTATGAAAATGACGATGAAGCTGCCATCGTTGATGAGTTGTTGGAAGATCGAATTCATTTAATTGATTTTGGTTTGGCATTAAAATTTGTTGATTCAAATGGTGTGCATCGGCCATTTGTGATGGATCAACGGCGTGCACATGACGGTACCCTAGAGTTTACATCACGCGACGCTCATATGGGTGCACATTCACGTCGCAGTGACCTCGAATGTTTGGCATACAATTTAATTTATTGGAGAGAAGGATATTTACCATGGAAAAATGAGAAAATCATGAGCCAACCCGAACAAGTGCATCGAATGAAAGAGTATTTCATGACTGACATTAAGCAATTATATAAGAAATTTTACAATGTTCCAATACCGTCGTTTATTTATGAATTTTTAATGCATGTCACGAATTTAGCTTATCATGATCGTCCCAACTATAAGTTATGTAAAGATATATTTTTGAGAGAATTCCTTAAGCTAGGTAAGAAGTGTTTTTAGTTAATTTAGTCTATAACGCCTTTAGTCTATTTGGAGATGTAAATGACATAGTTTCACGCACTTACACCGTCGAAAAAGGAAGAAATTCAGGTGATAACTCACTTGAATTTGTACCAAAATACCGAAGAAATCCTGGGAAGTACCGAAACTACACAAAAAAACATCGAAACATACAAAAGCACCCATAATTTCATTTCTTTCATTTCTCTGGCATTTTATGTTTGTCAGTGCTCTTTTTGGTACTTTCGGTGATATTTTGAGACTCGTTGGTATTTTTGATGTTTTGGTATTAATTTTGCCCTTGACAATACCCGAATTAAATCCATTTTCGACGATAGGTGATAGGAATATGTATCTCTAATTTTAATTTAAAAAAAATTCTTGGCTCTATTGATCTTAATTCATAGTTACCTAATTCTCTTTTCTTTCCTTTCATTCTGATGTTGATAATAACTCTGAAACTACACACATATGTGGCGTCAACAATTATTTCTTGGATAGGCTATAAACAAACAGAAATGGTATTGAATGTGGTTGAATTACGGGAGGCACCATTACGAAAACCGGAAACCGATGAATGTGATGCAATGAACAATATGTTGGGACAAAAATTAATGGAAGTTGCAAAAATGATGAAAATGGGCATGATAATGCCATTCTGTGAAACACCAACAACACCAAATCAAATTTCACCAAAAAATTTACGGTCGAAAGCCACACAAAATACGAAAAAACGACGAACGAAGTTTTCATGGACGGAAATTTTGAGCACCGACCCCGATCAAATAGCGCGGCAACGGGCTGAAAAAGAATTTGAACGTGAACCATGCGATGATACACCGATTCGTCGATATACAGGCAATCCAACGTATGCCATCATTCAAACGGAAAATTTAAAATCGAAAAACAAAGAGCGCGATCAAAACAATGATCAATCAGAAGATTATATTAAAGGTTATAATCGAGCAATGATGGATGTATGGCGAAAACGACAATCGTTGCTATTGAAAGAACCCGAACATAATAACAGTAGATGTGACGAGATAAAGTCAACGTCTACAGCGCGTGGTGGTAGACGCAAGCAAGCTAACGTTACTTCAAACACTATTACATCAAATAAAAAGCTAAACGGCAACAGTGTTGAAGATGTTCGAATAGCGACAGCAACCGATGATGCACTTGAAAAAGCAACACCCTTACAAGGTGCAACAGCAACGGCAAAACAATCGACAAAAACGACACGACGACGAAAGGCGGGCCTGCGAAATATAATTACACCAACAAAAAAAATCAGTGCTTATCGTGAAACAGCAACAAATAATCGAAAACGCAAAACCCTACTAGATGCAAAACAACCTGCTATTGATATTAATACAACGACAGCTACGGCTACACAGCCACCGTTGCCCACATCCAGCGAAAATTCAGATGCGTCGAATCCATGCTGCGAAATAAGCTCAAAGATTGCTTGGTGGGATTTGAATTCACGCGGCACAACAAAAAACAGTAGCAGTAGCAGTAGTACAATTGAATCGTCTGAATCATTGCCAATAGACAAGAAAACCGGTCAACGCCGTCGAAAATATAACAGCAGTTGTGGCATGTCATCACCAGCTTCACCAGCCAGTGAAGAGGACAGTTCACATGATTCATTTGATTATCGACGGCCAAGTACACGGTATGTACGAGGACGTCGGCATACCTCATCCAAACCACTTGTGATTGAAAGTGATGAAGAAAGCAGGGACACTGTTGATTACAGTCCAATTAAGAATCGAACAAAAAAATCGAACGGAAAAAGTAATCGCCGAAACAAACGTACAACCGTTCCTGCTACTGCAGCGGGTGGTGGTTCGGTTGCTGCAACATCTCGAGGAGGTTTGTATTTCAATGACGATACGGCAAATTCCTATTAGACGGTTCAAGAAAGCATACATAATCAAATGTTAAACTATTTTATTGCTTTATGAAAAAAAAATCAACACAATTGAACAAACATTCAAAAATTCTTGAACCGTCAAATCGGTCTTTCTCTGTGTTCTGCACATTGACCACAGCTAAAATATTCTGTGTATAAATTTGTCAGACTCTGTGGCTATGTTCGAGATTGATTGATGTAAATGTTCGCTTAACATTGTGTTGTTTCTCTTGTTGCAGTTTCTGGACGAAAAGCATCCGATTTGATTCGAACATTCACCAGAGGCTGACATTGAGCCCAATGTTATTTGTGTTAAAATTGAGAATAATGTAAACACAGACATCGAAATTTCGATCGTAGATCGATGCACGATGATGAATTTATTGTCACAAATAGGAAGAAGAGGAAGAAGAAAGATCATAATGTCGTTGCCTGAACCATTGCATTTTTCGAAATGTTGCACGATAGAACTGCATATTAGACAAAATGAAAATAAAAAAAATCAATCTAAAATAAAATTTAAAAAAAAATATATAAAACCAATAATTGTGATGTGTGTAATACACTGACAAAACTAAGGTTATGATTTTGACAACACCGTGTTGTAA